AGCTCCCACTGCAATATCCCAATGTGCATATCAAAATTTCCCTCCCTCCCTCCCTCTCTTAATGTTACTGCAACCTATTTTCTGTCTATTCACCATTGTTTAAATTACTTATAACAGTTCTTAGGTGCTAATTAATTATTCTTAGATATCTAATTATCAAGAACACTAGATTCCAAATATTCTCAATGTTAAAATAATAATAATATAATGTGGGTAAGGATGCTTTAGAGTAGACTAATAGAAAAAACAGGTGTTACTGGTAACAAACTGATAAGAATACTGGGCAAATTCAAGAATTAATTTTAATTTAAGAATGTTCTATGTGAGTCCCATTGATATCAATGAGAGGACATTATCATGCCTAAATTTGATTGTCTCTGTTCATCAATTCTCCTTAGAAGCTCAGTGATAGTCTTCCTTCAGTGCAAATACATCTTCTAGGTATGCTGTTGTTATTTAGGTTTAATAAAACTTTCAACTTCAATAGGTTCTGGGCAGTGGTGGGATTCAGCTGGTTTGCACCACTTTGACAGAACTGTAGCTAATTTTTTGTTCCCAGGCCCAGAATGGACTTCCGGAAGTGGCATCCACACAGAGAACCAGTTGTTCACATATTTGAATCCCACCATTGGTTCTGGGCGACTTACAAAATATAATACTAAATAAAAACAATTTCAAAAAATGAAGTAAGACAGCACAGATTAAACAACCATTAACACAAAGCATAACCTTCTTTCCCAAATATATGCCATTCTTCTTATATTTCAATTTATTATGACAATTTGCTGTGTTTAAGACTGTCATGCAGAAATAGATCAGAAAGCATTAATATTATTGTTTTTAATTATGGTTTATTTACTCATGACCAAATAAATATATAATTAAGCAACATTTGCTGCCATTCAGTTCCCTAGTTTAATATTTTTGTCCCTAGGACAGGGGTGTCAAACTCGCAACGTTACGACGTATTGTGACTTTTTTCCATTGCCAGCAATGGGGTGGCGCGGTTTTGTCATGACACATCCGGCCTGTGGGCCGGCAGTTTGACACCCTTGCCCTAGGATGTTTTTGGAAAGTAAAGTTGCAGGTGATGAACTTCAGATGCAGATTAAGTAATGAACAGAATAACAGAAACACAAATACCTGCATTGTGATACGTGTCCTCAGATAACTGCAAATTTTGTTTTTACTGATAGATTTTGTTTAATGAATAAAAGCTCAACCAAGCTGATTAAGCAGATAAAACCTAGCTTTAGAAAACTTTAAACTGCATGCATTCACATCAACAAATTACCAAATTACAAAACTTCAAAATTACATCAATTAGAAAATAATAGCATTCAAAGCCATCGAAATGAGAAAACCAGATGTAACTTTCTCCGCCAGATGGGGCTGTTGCCCACATCAAACAGACAAGATTATTTTTCAGCTGGTTTAGGTTGCAAATAGCCTAAAGCCAACAAACTGAGCAGTTGCTTAAAGCAGTGGTTCTTAACCTGGGCGATATTGCCCCCCAGGGGGCGATTTCATTTTTCAGGGGGGTGATGGAACAAAAAGGGGCAATGTGGGGGCAAAGGAACGAAAAGGGGGCGATGGAGCAAGAGGTTTTGGGGACACTTTTGAGACTTTTTCGTACAGTGAATCGCTGTATATCTGTTATACAAAAACATCAGATCGCTCGCTATTAGTGGATTGAATTGTGTTTTCAAATGTTCCTCCAGCTAGCTTCAGTACAGAACGCTGTACGTATGTGAAGACACATCACTTATCTTCATGCGCATTGCGCAGCAGCCTCTACCCATATAGTGGCGCGCCATTGATCAGAATATGGGAGATATGTGAAAAAGACTGGAAATAAATTATTTGCATCGATATGTCCTGATGACAATTTTAAAGAAAACAAAAAAAGTGTTTGTATAAATTGAAGAATTATTTCCTATGTTGTGATTGAGAGGTTATATTGGGGGAGGGGGGCAATGACAACTTCCTCATTGGCTCAAGTGGGGCGATTCATTCAAAAAGGTTAAGAACCACTGGCTTAAAGGAAGGAGGAAACTCAGCTGGGCAAACGTTGATTTACAAATGCTCCCAATTTTACTATGTACTATAGATTCCCCACGATTCCATTGTATAATGGCACTGTAAACATTTCTTGAATCTGAATGACATACAAACAGGAACAATTTGGCAGATCAGATGAACCTTCATAACTTCATACTACAACTGAAAGGTTTACAGAACACACTGTTGGATAAGTGCTTGTATTTGCATTCTTCAATGCATCCATCCCCGAACATGCACATGGTCTTTTTTATGTTCCGAAGTAATATATATTTGGCACTGAGGATATGGCAGCAATTCAACAAATTGATAAAGAAGATAGACACATGCTGCCAGAATCTCTTGTGGAGATGGGCAGCAATAGAAAGTAAATAAATGGAATAAAGAAGTGAAACAGGACTAACTTGTCTATATAGAAGGTCTGATTATTGAACATGAGAACAACTATAGCAATATCTGTTATCTGCAGGATTCTGTTATTAACATCTGTACCATAACAGATGTTACCACAAGCAATTGTGTAAGATCTAGAATGAAAATAGCATCAGAACAACAGCTGTCCCATCAGCTGAAGAAAATATGCAAAACAACGGATGCGATGGAACCACTGATGTTATTGTGCAGTTGGATGTCACCTTGTGCCACAGGAATAAAGCTGGCGATTTGACTCACCATCCGATGTTATTCCTGTTGTTTTTATCCAGATACTATTGGGAGGGAGGGAGGGAGGGAGGGAGGGAGAGAAGTTGATTTTATAGTAGTTATACTAGTGATGAAGTAGCATTTCCTTTTAATTAGACATCATCCAAAGTAGCCTTGTTTAAAAAAAAATCACAAATTAGGCTTTTTTATTCCTCACATGGAAGGAAAGCCAGGTGAGTGAGTACATTTGTATGTACACTTCCTTATATATCAACAATATGTGCACTTTATGCATATATATATAATTCCTACACAGGTCACCACAAAATAGTGGCTTGCCGAGGTCTGACCCCGGCATTGATCAAGACAAATGAACTTATCAGCCCATACTATTTCCAGCCCAGGAAGTATTTGCTCAATATCCTCCTATCATTGTTGAATTCAGCTTTAAGCTTAGGACACCCAGAACTGCTGCTTGTCTCTGAGATGTTTTCAGAAGGTGAATTGAGTGAAGGAAGCCGTGAATGGGATACATATTTTGCCCCAAAAGTATTATGAAAGGGAAATTGTTATGAATACTATGGACTATTCCATTTAAAGTTAGTAAACTGGCAAAGGCCAGAGGGAATAGACAGAAAGGGAGGGAGAAAATGACCAACAGAGCATAAAGCAAATAAAGAATGAAGCAATCTACACCAGAAGCTACCATTAAGTAAAACTTGCACATTAAGCAAAACTTAATTCAGCAATCACAACAACAACCAGTGACATAGCTCAGATAGAAGGAGTGCTATAAATAAGAGGATTGGACAAGAAATTGATTGGAGAAAACAATATATGTACTGTACATAGAACATCTGAACCTGCAGCTCATTCCCTCTTCAATTTGATCAATTGCTTGATAAGAATTTGGTGACAATATGAAAGTAAAAAAGTATGTATATGAAAGTGCTTTAGCAAAGTTTATAGGTAGTCCTTGCTTACTGACTGCCTCATTCAGCAATCCTTTGAAGTTATGATAGTACTGCCCTTCAGTCATGTGATGATCACTCAGTTGGTATGCATTGTTCAGTGCATGATCTTCTATTTTAATTCTTCTCTCCTTGAAGAGCAGAGAGATTGGAGAGGAAGAGATTACAACAGAGTAAGCAGGCACACAATGGGAATGTACAGCAAAAGCAATGTGCTTGTGCCAGTAGCTGTGAGAGTGTTATGCAAACAGCCTGGTGTATTCCCTATTATGTGCCTGCTAACTCTCTTGTAATCTTTTCTTGTAAATTCCAATGAATGTAAATACAAACATTAATTCCCTTCTTGTTAATTACATAGTGCTGGGGTGAGCATTCCAAAAGATGGGGGAAGAAAGAAGAGGAAACACAGTTGTAGTCATGTGATTTCTCACTTTGCAACTGCTTCATTTAATGACAGAGCTGCCAATCCCAATTGTGGTTGCTACATAAGGACTACCTTTTTTTTTTCTGTTTATGACCCTTTAATCCCTTTATTCAGAGTGGAGTCAAGGCAATGAGTGCAGTTGAGCATTTACTGGCCAGATGTCCTTACTGATACCTACATGGAGTTTGCAGCAGATATTGTCTCCTTGCATCCTGATAGAGAAACATCTACTACTTCCTAAGATTGAACTCTCAACCTTCCGAGTGGGAGGCAAGCAATAGTAATAACACTTAGACTTATATACCGCTTCACAGTGCTTTACAGCCCTCTCTATGTAAACTGCTTAGAGAGGGCTGTAAAGCATAGCATACTGCCCCTAACAATCTGGGTCCTCATTTTACCAATCTCGGAAGGATGGAAGGCTGAGTCAACTTTGAGCCAATGAGACTCGAACTGGCAGTCAGCAATCAGCAGAAGTAGCTGCAGTACTGCATTCTAACCACTGTGGCACCTCAGTTCCTCACCTCTAGGCCTCCGTGCCATTCTAAATGATGATTACCTATATTATACTCATAAAGCTAAGGGTTAACAAACAAATCTTTGTGTGTTGTCTTGTCATTTTAGTATGGATCACCCATTCTTCTTCTATCCCTGAGAGGTTAAGATTTTGTGGAAAGGGTATTCTCTTCACATAATTTCTTGACCACTGACCAAGACTATGTCTCAAGATGTCAGCTGTTCACAAACCATGGAGCATAGCAAGTGGGGAGAGCTGGTTACATGTGCCTCAGTGGATGGCAAAAGGAAAACTGAGAGATTATGTGAGATATAGTGTTTCATAGTTATATTGGAAAGATAATAGAAGGGACATAATCTCAAAAACATATATCCAAAAGACTCACTTGTTAGACAGTTTTTCAGTTCCTACATAAAGGGTATTCCTCATGAGACCAGCTCGAGTTCCCATGAAGGCTATCTGCACACCATCTTCAGTTTCACTGTTACAGAATAAAAATGAGAGTTGTATAAGCAAGTGAGAGCAGAAATCACTGAAAAGCTGGCTGAACCTCCTTTGTGCTGTAGGATTTGAAGTCAGGGAACAGATTGGATTTTACAGTAATCAACACGCTTTCTAGGCAAGATCACAAGTTCAATTCTCAGCAATTCTGGATAAAGCCAGATCTGTACCCAAATGGCAGTGGGATCCAGGACATGGCCCTTCAAAGGAATGAAGACTGAGGGAGGGTCCCAATGGCCAAAGGTGATAATTTGTACAATACAGGTAAAAACCAAGCTGCTGTTGATCATTGATTTTGTATCAAATGAACTTTTTGAACACTATTTCTGGACAGGTACAGGTAGAGTGCATTGCAGCAGTCTAAAGATGGATTGTTTCAAAATCTCTCTTAGCTCAAGACGTGTGTATTTACTTGGACATGGTGAGGGCCAAAGTTGTCCAATAGGCTTCCATAGGTGCTGTAACTACGGCATCGAAGAGAACTTGTTGAACCAACTCTTCATCACCTAGATATGGGAAAGAATGGTAAGAAAGAAAGGCAATCACCACACAAACATTGGAGTTGAAATCCAAAGCCTACAGACGACATAAGGATGGGGACTTGATTTATGTGTTTAGCTGTACATTTAGAATCTTGGGAAACAGGACAAGGGGATTAATGACATTAAACTATAACCAGGTGGCAGAAGCCCTGCTTCATTTTACATGTGTACTATGCATGCAACATGAGTTAAAAAGAAGTGAGGCTTTCAATCACCCAGTTTCAGCTGCCACAGTGATGTTATTGTCACCCCAGCAATGGATGGTCTTGTATGAAGGCCCTGAAAACTGAAACTCTTTGAACATCCCCGTCTATCCAAAGTATATTCCTGAGGTTTAAGGCTGAAGCCATCAGAAAGAATCTTGAATTGCAATAACAATAAATCTGTTCCTAGAATTTCAATTTGGATCTTGTTTTAAATTCATCCATCCATTTCCCCCCCCTCCTTTCTCCATTTGCTCCATGGAATTATCAGGAGCTGAACTTTCACACTGAAAAAATGGATGAAACCTTAAACAATGTATTAGTATAATTCTCCCTGAAATTTCATCCCAATAAATAACTTTGCTGGTTTGGGAATGACACATGATATACTTCCCTAGGTCAGAGACTAACTATGCTGACTGGAGCAAAGCCTGAAAAAGTAGTTTTGTAGGCAAATTGAATCAAGGAGATCAAAGAAACAGAGACCATGGGAAATGTGAGTTTAGAAAGGTTTACATTAAAATCAGATGGGAGCTATACCACACCTGAAGTTTCTAGCTATTCAGCAATGATATTCAACAGTACAGTTTTAGTTACAAGGACAGACAATATGATCTGATGGACCAATTCATATAAGAAATTGAATGATAAAAGGTAAATGTTGTCATCTGCCAGGTTTAACTTGAATTGAGTTGAAGTTGCTAATTCTTTTTTTTTGTAAATATTTTATTAATTACAAGTTTTACAATCATAAGTACTTAATAAATAATTCGGTGTCTGGGTTCCTTTATCATTAAGTGGTATATATTAACTTTCCCTCAAAATCCAATACTACACCATCCAGTTTTTCCCTGATGCTCTCTTCTTCCAATAATAATCATTCCCCCCCATTATACAATTACTGCTATTAATACCTATACAATTAAATATAAACATCTTCATCACATGTTTCTAATGTTACACATAATGTCAATAATATCAGTTTATAATATCTTGTCTAGCCAAAACATATCTCAAACTTATTTGCAGAGTTCCCTTATTCAATCCATATCCTGTTTTTTCTCTCTTTTTTAATTTTAATTTCCCATCAATATTCAAAATAACTTTATCAATTATCATTTTTCTCATAATTAATTACATTTGGATAACTAAAAGCTTTCCTTATACTGATTCTCTTAGTATTTTCATATTTCTCATCTTACAGAAAATTATGCTATCCTAGTTACAAATCACATCCTTCTATTTTACAATGGTCCTTTTATTTCTAATAATTGTCTATTCTTTTAATCATATTCAAACATCCATTAGATGGTATAATACCTCATCTAATTAGTCAGGACCTCTATTTTCTTCAATCTTACTCTAGCTTTCTTCCTTTGCCAAATAATTTTGCAAGTCAGTACATTTAAGTCACCAAGTATTTCTTCCTCTGTTTCTGTATAGATTATTTGGAATAAAAAAGACAATTTAATTAAAGTGTTTTTGTAAAAACACTTAATCCATTTATATTCATTAAACAGCCTCCATTTTCTTTCTCCTTCAGTTTCTTTTTCAGTTTCTTGTTCCCCAGTTTTCAGCATTTTTCCTGACAGCTGTTATTTATTCTATCATTTTTTCTTCCTTGTCCTCAAATATGATCAGAAGTCTTGAAAAGTAAAATATCTTTCCCATTTCTGGTATTATATCTGGGTCTTCCAAATTTTATTTATCTGCGCCTGTCTACTGGTTTCTTCTTTTGAATCCTCTATCTTTATGTCAGTTTCCTCTATTTTTTCTTCTGGCTTCTGAGTTGCTAGTTCATTCTTTATGGTCATTTTCTGAACGTTTTTTGCTTGTAAGTTTGAGTTGGAAAGTTACTCATTTATGTTATTTAAATTATTTTTAGTCTCCCTATAATTTAAAACAATTGTTTCTTGAATTAATTTCAACATGGAAATAATTTCTTTCTGAAGTCCATTTACATTTTCTTCTTGATTTCCATGTTTCTTCCAAAAACAAATAGTCCAGAAGCAACTTTCCCACTGTTTCTTAATATTTCTTGATAATTATTGAAACTAAAAGACAGTCAATATTTGTAACCCAGACTGGCCAATTTAGAATGGTTTATTGTCTCCTTCATACAGACAAAACAGCTCAAGAATTTTTTTTCCCCTTTTCACAGCTGTTATTTACAAAAGTGAAAGTTTCCAGAAACAACAAAGAGCCTTATCTATGTCTGGGCTTTGTGCCAAATTTCCTTTAAGCATAATAAATTGTAATGCCAAGGTTCACCACATCCAACTTCCAGCTTTTAAATCCAAACCTATTTCACCAATTTTCCAAATATCTTTTCAAATATAAAGTCTTAAAAATACTTTTAGTCCCCAAATTTGTCAAAGCTGTCTCTATCTTAAATCTAAATTAATCTTGTAGTTTTCTCTAATTTCCTCTGAAGAAAGTTATTCACTGCTTCTCTTTTCCTGAGAAAAAGGAGTGGAAATTCCCCTTCTCTCTATCATCTGGGGATTCTTTGCTTTGGGAGTTCTTTTTTCCAGGAAAAAAATTTAAAGTTATAAAGAGCACTTTGTTCTCACCCAGTTCCATTGTGTTGTTCAGAAGTTGCTAGTTAGTGCTTATCTTGGGTTGTTGGTGGCTTCTGGTTGGCCACATAAATGCATCCAGTCTTTCTTCCGCCGGTTTGAAGAGCTTTCTCAGATCAAACGGAATGGCTGCTGCCCCGAGAGTCCCCTTCTTCTTCATCGCCTCTCCAGGGTGACTTTAGACCCTTTTAAGGGTCCCCAGCAGAGTGAAATCAGATGTGGAAAACAGAACCCCATTTTCCTGCACCCATTACACCACAACCTCTAACCCAGAAGTGTGAAGTTGCTAATTCTAATTTGCAAGTAATTTGAAAATCAAGGAAAAGCCATAATGAACGATGATTAAGCAACATGCTGATTATATACTGTACATGTTTATCTTGTAGAAAAAATAATTAAAAAGGGATATGATTGTCACTACCAGTTATTTGAAAAGATGTCACATAGTTGTTGGAGCAATTTTAGTGTTTTGCTATCTCAGAGAATAGGAGACAATTCAGGAAACAGGATTTAGAAACTCTTAGTAATTTGGACTGTGAAACATTGGAACAAAGTGTCTCAAAAGATGGTGGAGGAGCTTATATCAATGCTTTTAAGCAAAGTACTTCATTAAGCCCTATTGAAATATCCTGGAATATGGCCACTGTGGAATTATTTTTGGATGAACCAATTTGGTATCTTCACAAGACTGTTCCTAACAGTTTAGGCAAAGTGGTTCAGAGGAACACTGATTAATAGCTATATGTTTTCATACTCACATTCAAGGTCAGGTTCTTCTGCTGTAATAAAACGGATTACAGCCTCCAACTGACTTAGCTTCCTATGAGCTGGATCAATATCTGTAACACAATAAATCCTAGGGGAAGGAGAAAGAAAGAACAAGAGAGTGTTGGCACATATTCTCCTTTCAGGGTCTCTCCTGACACACATAAGACTAAGCATAAAATATACCTTTTCACTATCACTATAGAGAGAAGTTAAACAAGTGAACAGGAAACAGCTTAGTTAGCCCATTGATCATCATCCATCTTACCATATTCCAATATGGGCAATTGTTTAAATTACTCTCTTATCCCAATAAGAATGTAAGAAAACAGAATGCTCTAATCCAGAAGACTGTCACACGGGGCATCCAGGATCGAAATACAGCCTTCATATGTGGTGCACATGCGCAGTACACATGCAAAACACTGAGGATTCAGACTCATCTTGACTTCTTTTTTGATTCCCCACTGTCCTAACTTTAAAGAAAAAAAAGGGTAATAAATTTATTTAGGCCCTAGGATTACCGGGTTCTGATATATAAATAATAATAATAAATGGTAGAGTAAATTTTACATCTGATTAATATTACACAGGGATGTGAACGCTTGTGCTGTGCTTTGAAACTGAAAGGCAAATAATGCTTCAAAAGGCATAGAATCACTCATGTACAATAGCACCCATTGGTAACTCTTTAAATTAGTTGTGTCTATTCTAGGATTCTGTGACCACCCTTTGCAGCATAATCCAGGGAAAAGACATATTTGCTTTAAGCAGTGGCAATAGGTGTAGCCACTTGCATTTTGGTGCAGTTCAGAACAGAATCCAAAGGGTTACACGGCCCAAATGAACAGGCATGAAGATGTGAACCAGCCTTGCACCTAACTCAAGCATAGGTTTAAGGGAGCGTCAATTGTTCCAGGAGACAGTGTTTCGCTACATTCTTGGGCAAAATTCTTTTCTCTGGTGTATTTAATATCCTTTAATTGACAAAGATTTAGCTGAGCTGTTTAGCTTCTACAGAAACATTTTCCCAAGGCCTCAATTGCAAGGACCCAATGCAAAGTGTTCATCTTTCCCAGACATGAATGATCAGAAAAAAATATCTTACCACTCATTGGCTAAGGTCAAATCTGGCTGCAGAAGGTCATGCAAACCTGAAATGAAAAGGTTATGGCATTGTTATGACCGTGATTACTTCTTTGTGGCAAACTTGCTTAACACACAAAGTTTTCCACAAGAAATTTCCATTTGTATTGAATGAAGATTCAATCTCTGGAGGATAACAGAAATGAGGGTGATGGTTAAGACATTGTGTAATGGGAATATATACACCAAGAATTTTGTTTGGGTGGGGAGGAGAAATTACCTGATTGGATATCTTATGTTGTACACACACACACACACACACACACACACACACACACACAGAGAGAGAGAGAGAGAGAGAGAGAGAGAGAGAAATACAATTTACAATTTTGATTTAGACGCAACATAGATATGAGGATTCTCAAGTACCAAATTCCAATACTTAAATTATAATAGATGTCATATAGTGGGAATGAAGTTCAGTAAAATGGGAAGAACTGTCCTATTACTTCAGTCTACTCAGAAACAGCAAACGCTGCTTTGTTTTGATAAAAATATTACTCTATAAAGCAGTGGTTCTCAACCTATGGGTCGCGACCCCATTTGGGGTCGATCGACCATTTCACGGGGGTCACCAAACAAGGCTGTCCGCCATTTTTTTCCCTTTTCTGGCGGGCGCCTTACCTCCCTTGGGCTGGGCCAGCTGGTGGCCCAGCCAGTGGTCAGCCTGCTCCGTCTCTGCCGCTTGCCAGCTACGCCTCGGCCGGCGCAGGGAGCAGCACCACGCATGCGCGGCGCTCCCGGGCAGGGAAAGTCCTCGACTTATGACTGATTGGGTAGTCCTTGACTTACGACCGGTTTAGTCCTCGACTTATGACTGGGTTAGTCCTCGACTTACAACCGGTTGGGGGTCGCGGCATTAAAAAGGTTGAGAACCACTGCTATAAAGGGATTGAGGCATCCTGTACTTTGCCTCATAGACAAAACCAATTAAAGTGGCAAATGAATCTGACTGTTTGATACCACAGACCTCGGCACATCCATTTTGCAGAAAAGGTTACTGACATTAGGACTGGATATGATACACAACCCTGAGAAAAGGGAACAGTGAAAACTTCATAAACACACAGTGGGAGCCTTTCCAAGAAATATTTGGGTTTCAGGGGTGATAAATTAGTATGTTGCCATATTTTCATTTTTTAATTTTATTAGTACTTTTCTTCTCCCTCTTTAAATATGTAGGAAGCTGAGTTCAATAATCATTTTCTACTCTGTCAGGTTAGCAAATAAATACCTAAAGAGAGATGGAGAGGGTAGCCAAATAAAAACACTATTAAAACCTAGCTAGGGTACAAGAAAGTGTTCTCCAATATTTCTCATACAAGACTTTTACAGAACTGTGCCATATAACCAACCTTCTTCCACTGAAGTGTCCCCAAGCAGCGTGTATTCACCATATCCTCGTGACAGAACAATTCCCAAGCTGTGAGTTGGGGTGGGGGAGTAGGGGACAATAAGGAAATAAAAAAGAATATTATGAAAGTCTATCTCAGCCTTCATTGGTGTGGCATTAAAAAGATAAAGGTTTTCCTGTCAGTCATATTCAACTCTCGGGCACAGTGCTCATCTTCGTTTCATGGCTGAGGGAGCCAGCATTGTATGAAGACAATTTCCGTGGTTATGTGACCAGTATGGCTCTATGCCAGGGGTAGCAACCTTGGCTCTTTTATGACTCGTGGACTTGAACTCCCAGAATTCTTGAGCCAGCCATGCTGAGGGGAAAGGGAGAGGTTCCCAAGCTGAGCCATGCTGGCTCAGGAATTCTGGGAGTTGAAGTCCACGAGTCATAAAAGAGCCAAGGTTGCCTACCCTTGCTCTATGCCAAAGGCTTATGGAATGCTGATAACTTCCTATCAAAGTGGCACCTATTTATCTACTCGCGTTTGCATGTTCTTGAACTGCTAGGTGGGCAGGAGCTGAGGGCAAGTAATGAGATCTCACCCCATTGTGCAGAGCTTAACACCAGCTGACAAGTTCAGCATTTTTAATTGCTGAGCTATGGCACCCCATTAACCAGATGCATTAACCCTGAAATCACAGAATTCCCAGCCAACTTACAATTTAAACAGCAAAATAATAAAATGGAAAATCAGAGCATCCAAACAACATTAATCATCATAACAAAATACTAATAGGTCCCTATCTGAAGCAATGAGAGAACAATTGTGTTTTTAAAGATTTCTGGAATGACATTAGAGGAGTTAGACAAATTTTGGTGGGGTTTATTATTTCAGAGGAAAGATGCTTCCTAGGTCCTAATGGCGGGCATTGTTTGATTGAAAGGAACTGAACTGTACCTATTTTGCCTGATCTTTTTAGATGGGCAGCAACCCTGGTAGGTGGTCTCCCAAATAACCTGGCCTGTGACATGAAGGGCTTTTTAAGTGCTAACCAACACCTTGATTGTACCCAGAACCCCATCATCCTTCTCTTTTTCCTCCACTATGAATTGTGAGAACTCAGGCTTTTAATTGACAGGTATAACAACTGAGTTTTTTGGATCTTCAATATCTACAGCATCTTGAAATTCTCTTGATGAATTTGGTTTTATTTCTACAGGTATGAAAAATGGATTCACTAAGTGAGTGAACTGGGGGACTTAAACGGGGAAAGTTAATCCATCTTTTTCTCTACAGGACTTCCATAAAGAAACAGGGCCTCCAAAAGCTTTGTAGATTATTCCTTTTCAGAGCCATTCCTATGGCTCCAGAAGTCAAATTCTCATTCTTTCTTCCTTTTTCTCTCTTACGTGTTGCTATTTTTCTAAAAAAGCCAACTGTATCCAGCCTAATGCATCTGTTATTTCTTTTGACATCCTGGTACCATCCAGGTATAATTGCATAACTGGATTACAAAAATAATATAAAAAGTATAACTGGACTATAATTCCAATGTTTTCCAGCCAACAGGATCACTGGCCATGCCAGTTGGGAATTTTGGACCTTATAATCTCAAATTATTTTGATGGCATCAGGTTGATGAAGGTTGACCAACTGAATTGAATTGACTCTGTAGGATCCTGGGTGGAGCAATCTTTTTGTTACCTAAGGCCATCTGAATAGTAATGCAAAACATTTAATTTGATCTCCCTCTGTGGAATCTGCTCACTCACCTAAATGGAGTGCGGCTAATATGAGTGAAGAAATAGTCATTAGTGAGGAACAGAATCCTTTTCTGAGAAAACAAAAAAGAAAAGAAAAAAAATATCAGGAATGCTAAACTGTAACTGCAGAGAAAACATACACCTTACACAAAGACATACACATACAGACACACAGACACATACAGAAAGAGAATAATGCAACTAGAGAAGAAATGTAGCTTGTCTTTTATATCTGCTTACTCGCTTAAAAAGAGTCCTGCTCCTTCTTGTTACAAAGTTGGCATGTAAAAAGAAAGGCTTAATTTTGTTGTACATCATCAAATGAGTGCTGAAACTAGGTCATCATATATTAAGAATCTCATGATTAGGGCAGTCTCCCAATTAAATAAATCTTACATTGTAGCATTTTATCTACTGAGAATTAAGACACACTCAGTTTGGTAGATCCAGTCCTAAGTAAATGTGCAGGGGACTGCAGACTTTATCAATTAATTGGATGAATTTTAATTATATAAACCTGAGTAGACTGAACAAGAAAAAAGTATGGTTAATTGAGTTTTAAGTGACTTACCAGAAGAGGCTCTAATGTTTTAAAAAAAATATTCTGTTGTTGGTGTGAGATGGCGAGGAAAAAAAAATTGGAGACGTTTCTACTGAGATAGTATCTGTTTTTATGAGGTCTTGTAGTACAACGAATACAACAAACAAGCTGTACAATAAATCGACTTTATGTTGTACTGTTACTTAAGATTCATGTCTTTTAAAGTGAATATGAATAATACAACATCTCTTTAATTGTCTGTACATACTTTTTCATAATATATCAGTGTCTAATAATCTGTATGTTTCATCAGCCCACCATCTGCAGAGATTGCTCATCATCTACATTAGGAGGGTATTGTCTGAAAGTCCACAATAATAACTTAAAATTTAAAATTGTTTATGGGCCTCAAAACATGAATGAATCTGACAATTTCTCCCAATATAAACAGTCCATTGGTAGAAATAAGTTGATAGGCTGGTCCAAGATCTCTGTGACATCAGACCCAGATAAATTGCATCAAGACAGGAAGGCAACAAAATCACTATAGAGTAGGGGTGTCAAACTCGCCATGTCACGTGACATGACGTGACGTATCATGACTTTTTCTCCATTGCCAAAGCTGGGGTGGTTGCGGTTTCGGCATGACACATCCGGCCCATGAGCTGGCAGTTTGACACTCCTGCTATAGAGGTTCAGAACGAGAACCTGTGAGAATGAGAATCTGAGGAGGAAAAGATAGACTACAAATATTCATAGTTGGGATGGATAAGGAATACTGGAAATACTTGGGATATTAGATCATATAGAACAGTGGTTCTCAATCTTTCTAATGCCGCGACCCCATAATAAAGTTCCCCATGTTGTGGTGACCCCCAACCACTTATACATCACCGGGTGCCAGGGGCGTGGCCAAAGAAAAGGGGAAAAAAAAGGCGGACAGCCTTGTTTGGCGACCCCCATGAAATGGTCGTTCGACCCCAAATGGGGTCCCGACCCACAGGTTGAGAACCACTGATATAGAAGCATGGATCATTTGACTTTCATCCTGAAATGGGGCAGTGCCAAGCTTTCTTTAGCTATTATGACCTACAGTCACCATTCCTTTCAAAAAGACAAACCTCTCCTTTGGAGAAAAGGAAGCAGGAAAGAAGAATTTTTGGGGGAAAGACTGTTCCATAAGGGGAATACCACAGCAGAGTAAGCATGTTGCCTGGGAACTAGCAAATGTAAATACCTGGCTGATGGCATCTGGACCATGCCTTCTTTGCAAAACCTGATGGGGCAAGCTGATGAAAGATGGTCTCTCAAATACAGGTTGTCCTTGACTTACAACAATTCATTTAGTGACCATTCAAAGTTACAACACACTGAAAAAAGTGTCTTATGACCACCTTTCACACTTATGACTGCTGCAGCATCCCCATGGTCACAAGATCAAAACTTGGACGCTTGGCAACTGGTACATATATTTATGATGATTACAATGTCCTGGGGTCATGTGATCAGCTTTTGTGACTTTCTGACAAGCAAAGTCAACAGGGAAGCCAGATTCACTTTAACAACCATATTACTAACTTAACAAATGCAATGATTCACTTAACAACTGGGGCGAGAAATGTCGAAAAATGGGGCAAAACTCGTTTAACAAATATTTCACTTAGCAACATCAATTTTGGGCTCAATTGTGATCGTAACTTGAAGACTATCTGTACCCTGGTCCCATGCCATGAAGCGCTTTAAAGGATAAAATCAGCACGTTGATCTGGTAGATTAATCTTTTTTTGTAAGAAAATATAAGAGGTCATGAGGGCGTTGCCCTCTGTTATGAGCTGGCAGTTTGACACCCCTCCTCTAGGGTGAGGGTTTTTTTTAAATTGGGGGTGATGGGTGGGAGTGTGAAGGATGCCAACAAAATGGGAGATGGACTCTCCATTCTGCTTGCATCAACTAACATTGTAACATCTTTGCACAGCACACTGGGCATTTTGTGAATTCACATCCACAATACCAAAGGAATCTTGCTAAGTAGGATGAGCTGTGGTAAATAATACGGTCTCAGCACTGTTTCTTTGTATACCTTGATACATGACTTGATGAGCAATGCACTTCTTATCAGAGAATCAGATGGAAATGGAAAAAAAGAGACTGGCTACAGCCTTCAAGGCTGTTCTGCCCCTGCTTTAATGTCCTTGAAATACGTTACACAGATCAATGCTCTGCAGCTGGGCTACATGAAATGACAGATAGGCTTGAGATGGAAGTGTGACAGAGAAGGTGACAAGCTGTAGGATAACCATCTCAGTCCTTGTGGCTGTAGTCACATGGGCTGCTTTTCTTTTTCTCCTTCACCTAAATATCATTCTTCCCTTTTGTTGGTTAAACATGAATCCTCAACATCCCGGAAACCCCATCTAGTACAATGACAGCAGGCATCAAAGGAGTTGAGGCTAAATTGTTCATGTTTTGGAAAGGCAGATCGATCCTGCAGGCAGTTACGTGAGCTGACTGCCAGCTGAGCATTTCAAAAATATCTCAGCTAGCTTATTTAATTAGCCAAGCATGGCCAGCCTGACGCTCTCAAAAAAAGAAAGAAAGAAAGAAAGAAATCTGTGTGGGTTGCCATATAATGTTGAGTGGTTCCCCCATTTTCTGTGTTGCTGGAGAGGAAATAGCTTGGTTTAAATGACCCCCCATAATATTCCCTCCAGGGGTCCCAAGCCCTCCTGCTTTTCTATTGCTGTTAACATTTGATTTTATGATTTTTAGGTACCACAAGGTCACAGCAAGTGTCACCATCTAACCAATTTGGCTGATCTGGAAAAAAACTAAGCAGGACCAGGTCCAGCTGGGACATAGATTGGAGACCACTCAGAAATCAAGAGTTTCTAGGGTAGGGTGGAAAACTAAAGGGAAAATGGGAAAAAAAATTCCAAGGCAGTGGTAATGCTGCCAAGAAAACTACACAAACATACCTGTGGAGTCAACGTTTTGGATTCAAAGAACACCAAGAAAATCGCAATAGATTTACATTTATTTTTAGGCTGTACTAAGGTGCCTATTTTACGCAGGCACACACACACAAGCACTCTTCATGGAGCAGAATTTCCTCATAGTACCTTTTCTCCTTCAGTATAGTTTTTGCCTGAATATTGAGGGGAATTGGTGAACTATGTCATGCATTTAGCTTCACGCTGAAACTTGATCCATTTTTTAAAAAACCCAGTCTTAATGTTAATTAATGCAGTCAAGGAGGCACTTTGTATTGCCTGAAAGCTTACAAAATTAGAGAAATGTCAAATAGTTTCAAGTATTTGGGGGCAGGAGGTGATGTAATATTAACAGGAGTGAATAAAATGTCTCCACAGAACCCTGCTTTGCTAACCTTTAAAATAATTTTCAGTACAGTTGGAAATGGGGAAGAATATAAACTTAACTAATCAATTCCAGGGAGGATGTGAAATTTAGATGAATCAAAAAGCAAAGCATGAAGAAGTTAAAAAAGGTTAGTGCGGCAAGAGAGAAAAACTAATACTACTTTTTAAGAGTACTGACATATATTTCTTCAACTTTTTTTTCTAGTTACACAGACTTTGGAGGATTTTCTATTCTTTCAAAACCTCTATGCATTTATTTAACTTAAGGGGGCAGCTGGCCAAGCAAATCATCTCAGTGCATGCGTGTTATAGACTCCATAGAAAACTTTCCAACTCACAGTGTTTCTCAACCTTGACAATTTTAAGGCATGCGAACTTCAACTCCCAGAATTTCACAGCCAGCATTGCTGGCTGTGGAATTCTGGGAGTTGAAGTCCACATGCCTTAAAATTGTCAAGTTGAGAAACACTGAAGAAAAAGTATGTGCCTCCAGTTGAAGAGATGCAGGTGAAAAAAAAAACAATAATTGAAAACCCAAGTCATAATGAGATGAAGGAGCAATAATGACAAAAGAGTAAAAGACCTGAAAGTAGGTAAGGGAGAGCTAATAAGGGGCCAATAAATGTCGTATGGCATTTAATGATGACATATTTAATTTAGGAAATGTCATGATGCCTAAATGCATTAATAGAAAGGTATAAAACATTTCAATTTGTACCGAACAGAAAGGGAGATATTGAAGCCTCTCCTTTTAATCTACCCTAGAAGGGGGTGGGGCTTTGATTGCACAATTGCAGCACCTATTATTGATTTGTTTGACCCTTTGTGGACACCTCTGCCCTGAACTCTTGATATGCACACCTGGACAAGATTTATTAGCACAAAAGTCTCCAGAATTTTAGGAAATATTTCCATTCCTGAATCTACAGTCTTCAAATACCACTGGATTTTAACTGATCATATGTTTCTGCAGCAGCTACTGATAAATTAAGCCTCTGTTGATGACAACTATGACTAAAATGGATATTGTTCTCTTGTTTACATCTTTTCTCTGCCTCCTAGGGAAACTCTGTGTTCCTTTTACAGATGAAGAGAGAATAAAGATATGGCTAAGTTTATATTTCTGAAACGGCCTTCATGATTTCAGTCTTCTAAATCTCCTGCTATTGTCATGTATCCGATAAAGCTAATCTAATTATGCTGATGTGCTTTGGGGATTTTAGGATACTTTCACACATTTAACCTTTTGAAATGTTTACTTTTCCAAACTGCATGGTGTTTAATCTACAATTTTTAAACACAAGCTTATAAATACTCACTCCTTTATCCATAGGCACTTTCACATCCATGGACAAATAACCAGTTTCTCCATTGATCATTGCTGTTCGTAACTGCAGAAAGGAACCAGATTTCATTAGAATCTTTAGCTAGCTCAGAACCGCTGGCATGCAGTGACAATTTAAGTATAGATATTTCACCCCTTTGTGTATAGCTAAATAATATACAGGTTGGGCTGTAAGCCTGCAATTGACTGTACTGATTCAGGGAAGCAACTGCCAAGACTAATGTGTTGGATTAGAACTGGGAGATTTGTTCATACTGAGAAGTATGAACAATTGGCTACAACAGATTGATACAAGGATACTCTTCTATATGTGTATATTTTTGCTCTACCTTTCATAGATTACTTGCATCATCTTCAGCTTGTTCTTATTTTGTTGCATATTGCCCATAGTCAATAGACAATTTGTCAATATTCCTGTGATTTGCTAGGAACTTTATGAATAAATTGGCCATGGTAATGAGCACAAACCCCCCTCCCCCAATTAGGCACTTACAGTTTCATTGACATCTTCCCATTCTACTTCAGAAAGATCAACACTGTTGTAATTAGGTTTGGGCTTCAGTTTTTTCCCTTCTTTGTACTGGAATAGTGAAAAAAGGACAGACAAGTTAGGAAGATATACTCTTTTTCTCAAGGAAAGACTCCCCCACCCAGCTGATTATACAATGTTAGTATCTATTGTTGAACGAAGTTCTAGGCATTATTATTGTTCAGCAAGGAAAGTGCAGTTGTTGTGCTCTTCCATTCATTTTGCCCCCTGGGCAAAGATGAAGTTGTCTTCAACATCTTCCAGAGTTTTGCTATTACAGAAAGCAAAATGACTCTAGTCCTCATGGCATCATTAGGAATGGAAGATAAGACTTTTTCTGACAAAGAGAGGTAGTCCTCTACTTATGACCATTCATTTACTCATGATTCAAAGTTACAACAGTCTAGGTAGAAAAAGTGACTTATGACCTGTTCTTGAAATTACAATTGTTGCACCATCCCACTGGTCAACTGATTCTAATTCAGGCGCTTGGCCTGAATCACATGATCACAATAGTAATCTTACAAACAAAATCGATTGGGGAAGCTGGATTTGCTTAATTGTGATTCACTTAATAACCCCCATAAAAATCATCATAAAATCAGACCTGGTCATTTAATGATTCTTTTAACAACCATATCGCTTAACAACCAAAATTCCAGTCTTAATTGTGGTTGTAAATTGAAGACTACCTGTACAGGCCTAGCATATTTTATTTGTACAAATTATGTTTCCAAAAGCCCAAATCAGAAACAATAGCAGCGGCAAGAAGCAGAGCAATAATACAGGAATGATATACACTTTCCTGTTTAAAATCAGATATAAATTTCAACACTGTAAGCATATAATTAATCTAACCAGCTTGGTATTTATTGTATAATTTGTGTTCTTTTTCTAAAGGGGATATTTATTCTATGCTTGTAATGAAAGCAAAGAAAATATAAATCAAGAGAAAATATAAAAAGTGAAGAAAGATCTGGAGGAGATCTTTAAATCTCACATTTTGGGCAAAATAAGTATGCAGTTAAAAGGCACCTCAGAGAAAATGAAGTATTCAACCAGCCAACATAATTAGATAGCTGCATTGGGAGCTTTGACATTTAAGTCAAAGTGACATAAAATTAAAATTTAATCATGTAGGTGAGGAACGTTACTTACCTACAAAAGTTACCTGAGATCCAAATTCCCTAGACACCAGGACAATTCTATGGGCACAGAGTTACCAATGATGTTTTTGCTGATGCAATGGGATCCACTGCATGTAAAGGTTCCCAGTAGGCCTTTAATTTGATACCTCAATGGTGCCATTTAGAAGTTTGAATAGATATTGAATAGATATTGGGTTCATTGGAAAATAAAACTAACAATCAAAAATTGCCATTAGAAAAAGACAACCATCAATAACACCCACTTACTGTCACTGTGGGATAGCACAAATCTAGATAGCTGATGACCCTGTGATCAATGAACTGGAGGTTCTAAAATGACACAAACTAAACAGAGATCCCAGAAAATCTAGGGCTTGTTTAGGTACTTACCAGTGGCCGGAGGTCAGGATGAGACAGAATGTAGCCATTGTTAGTAATTAGAAAGGCATATCCGTGGATACCCAGCTTGAAATAAATGCATTAAAACAATTAGATGTATTTATTTCATATATATTTTTTGCAAGAGGGAAAGTTACAGAACCCGTCCCACAAAATTGTGCATTGATTGACTAGTATGCACACTATCATTATTTAGTTTGAACATTTTGTATAAAATCTTAACCCTTCAAGATATCTCTTTAATTTTTATTTTATTTATTTTTTATATTTCATATTTCTAAACCTCCCATCTCCCTCAAATTATATTGCTCCTCCTTTAAAAAATACACAACAGTGCTCTCAGATGTTCTTCTGTCTTAATATAGGTTAAAATCTGAATTAAGAGAGTTAAGGAACATAAGAAGCTGCCAATATATCAGAATATTTATTAATCAAGCCAAAATCCTTGTGTCTAATTGGCAGTGAGTCCCTGCAAGGATTTCTTCCAAATTTGTTTACTGAATATTTTTCCCCTCGAACTGAACAGAGCCAGCTCATTCATGAACCTCAAGCAACGTATTTAGAAAGATTCGTTTTTAAGTTCAGATCCTAGCTACTACCATCCTAATATAGCTTCTCTCCTCCACAATGCCTTCCTCTGAGGATTCCTCAGATCAAGAAATAAGAATGTGAAATCAATCTGAACACATTGATGGCCCCCAATACCATGTTTTTAAGATTCTCAGAGGAGTACCAAATCTTTATAACAAGCTGCGAGGAACATGTTTTCTTAGTTGTACTCATATGATGGTGGGACTTTCCTTTGAAAGAGAGTAGTATTAACAGAGAATTTCAAATCTGCAGACATCTGGGAATGTGAACTTAATCTTTCTGAACTAGTGGGAATCTCTACTTCTTGCAGCATACAGTGATCAAAGGAGTTCTCTGCCATTATGGCAGAATGAAGATTTCCTTTGGGACTGTTGCACTTTTAAAGATCAGACAATTCTCATTGTTTCAGGTCTTACTTTGTATCGTGGAGCTAACTTTAGGAGCTCTCTCAGTGGAACATCAGACCCTACCACACCCAGAAGGATTCCATGGGATCTCTGAAAAATAGAAAATGAAAACTGGGAATGTATTGTCTCTTTCTCCTTGTACCCAAAAAAATATCATTTTGTCACTATGTTGACTTTCATCATTTGTATTGGACAAAATATTTGGATGGGAGGATAACAGAAATTGGTTAAATATTCCATTCTCTAGTCTAAGCTGTAGTGTAAATGCTAATAAAAAGAGATAACAAATTCTATAAGACTAATCATTTCAAAAGAAGACAGAGAAGGAGATTACATTCCTTTTCTTAATTTGTCCAACGAAGAAAATAGTTCTTTCATTAGTTTTGATATGTTAGTTTCTTTATTTTTTTAAAATTATATTTTTAACAACAACAAAAAAGTTACTGTATCTCACATATACATTGGTAGATAATTGCATACCATTCTTCAGAACTTTTGTTATCAAATTTTGTTTGCAACATTTCAGAAGCTCTAGAGAGCCCCTAAAAGGGAGTTAGGGCCATACAGGGAATACAGGCTATAGTTTCTCCACTTGACTTATTTATAAATATACTCTTTAAAATGTTTTTTATTTATTTAGCATACTCTGGTTATAGGGTTTTAAGAAGTAGTAACACACACGTCCATTTAAGAAATACAATAACATCTGGAGATCTGCTAAAGCTCTGTCAGTCTGGTCTACTTACCTCACTAGGTAGACCAGCTCAAGAAATCAACTCTAGAGAAAAACTAAAACATCTGAAAATTATCTAACTGTTCTGGTCTTAAGACATGTTTTATTTCTCACCACCCTTGGAGTTCATGTTCCTTACTCATGTTCCTTACTCTCTACAACAGGGGTTCTCAACCTTGGCAACTTTAAGACGTGTGGACTTCAACTCCCAGAATTCCTCAGCCAGCTTTGCTGGCTGAGGAATTCTGGGAGTTGAACACACGTCTTAAAGTTACCAAGGTTGAGAACCCCTGCTCTACAAGCTCCAACAAACAAAGTTTAAATTTTGCAAGCTATCCTCTTATCTTGCTCCAGGTAGAGGTTGCCTAGAAAATGATGCTTACCGTTTCATTTTTTTTGCTGAAGACAGGCATAGCCACTGTTGTCATAAGCAAAAGACTTTGAGCTTGAGAGGCAAAGAGCTACCAGATAGAAAAAGAGCAGCAGATTAGTTGGTGGAAGAGTAATTGACAGGAGAAGTACAAATCCTTTGAATTAAATAGTAGGAAAGCACAATGAAAAGTGTGCACTAAAATTACTAACTATATAAGAGGACAAGAAGAATATGATAGGAGTAAGAGATGAAGCTGAGACATGCTTTGACAATACTTTCACATAGTCAAGGTACATAAGATCATAAAGAAAGTTTGACATGTGACTGCACTTCTTCATATCCAGTTTAACATGGCATAGTTAGAGATATAGTTAAGCATGTGACTCACTTACCCAGACATAAAAAATTGTAAATGTGCTTACATACATAAACATTCAAACTCATATTCAGTGATCAAATGCAAATGGGCTGGGGTTGGAGTTGAAAATAAGGGATATATTCCAGAAGAGACATGGGCTTACATGGAAGATGGTTCATCAATAAGTTGGAAGAAATAAAGGTGAATTGTGTGAAATGAACAAAGGCATCACAAGCTAGAGATGGAGAGATGGGAGGGAGAGATAGCTTTGCAGCTTCAGAAGAGGAAAAAAAACATTTATCTAGGGCTTCTAGTCAACTCAATAAAAGTTTCACCCATTTCACTACAGAGGGCTTCAAAGTCTCATTAGATGAATCCAAAGATCCAGCATAAAAGCCAACTAGATATCTATGGAAAGTCCAATATTGAGAGGAATCTTTCCTCTGTTGGGAATAATATATTGCTATTATTCTTAATAGCTGTACATAGCACTATCTTCCATGAATGTTAAATTTCATTGTTGCATCATCTATCACAACATTTTATAATATTCAATTCCACAAATTAATCTTCTGCTAGCCATTCTAAATATTAGCTCAGTGGGCATTATTAACAGGTTGAGCATGGATATTTAATAACTAAAATGTAGATGGCCATCCTGTTGCGGTACTAAATATTTACCGTATAATTGTGAAAACACTTCCTCTGTATTCTCTCAAACAAATTTATGTTACTGCTATTTCAGTATTCAGAGGGAATCTCTACTAATGCTAAAATCCCATTATGGACATTGTATAATCTTAACAATTACTTCAAGGTGTAGCACTATAGTTGCATAATTATCCACATGTCTAGAAAGAAATAAGTATCATAAAATTCAGTTTAAGTGAGCACCAAGTTGCAGTCAAATCCATTAAATAAATCTAGGATTAAGCCACAATTCAAACAGGGCACCTTCAGCCCATGAGCCATGCTCTGAAATACTATTCCATGACACAACACAACACAACTCAAATACATCCAGAATTATGCTATCTGTGTCTTTCCCATGCTGCATTGCTCAGTCACCACTGTATTATTATCTGGATGTATAATTAAGCTACAAAGTAATCTAATATACAACACAGCAATCCACATAAAAACTGTCAATGTTCACAAAATACAGCTAGGTTGTTACCTCCTCGAATTGTGGCAGCTAGTGAGAAATGTGGATGGCAATAATGAATGGACAGGACAGAATAGATGAATAAGCCAAACAACTAACAACTAACACAAACAACGCAAGTGAGAAAAACATAAGAACAAGCAAAAGCATCACAAACAGCAGTAGTTTTTAGGTAGCAACAGTCAAGAATCAACACTCAATAAAATAAATACAAGGTCATTCTGCTGATAATCTTAACTAAATTGGAAAAGAGATTTCTTTTATAACTTAGTTCCAAGAAATGTTCAGCTTTAATCTCTGAATTCAGAAATATCTTCTCATCAATTTAGAATAGCTTCATGTCTGAGATAGCCAAGGCATGGTATGGTATGGTGGGACCAACTTTTTTTAACTGTTGGCTCTTGTAAGCCCTTCAACTGGTTGTGGACAGTAGCAGCAAGTAACTGGGAACACATAAAGCCATATTCCATCCAGAATCAGAGATTTTAACAACAGTATCAAAATTGTTGATGCTCTGCCTTACCATTTAATGTACAATAAAGACCCATGTATATGTAGCAACCACCAGGCAAGAATTTTTCTTTGAGATGAACTTGGTTCCTTATGATTTAATGGGCCCATTTTTATAGTTTCTTGGGGAACAGTACAAAGTGGTTCACTGTTGTTCTCTTCCTGGATTTATTTTTAATATCTATAGTTCTATATTTATTTTTAATATCTATAGTTCTGGTGCTTCTCAGTAGTCTCCCATTGAAACCCTAACAACTTGGGCCAACTTGTTTAACTTCCTAAGACATGGCTATAGGTGTTGCCACTTAGATGGTCAGGCTTTATTGCTAGGAGTGGATAAATGCACTTGAGAAACTTTAACCTTATACAAAATGATAGACATTCCTATGAGAAACCTGTAAAGTTGTACTGAATTTCAACTTGAAAAAAATATAATGGAAAGTCTTCATTTTTCCCAACAGTCTCACTACCAAAGAGAGAGAATCTTGCTCATTATGAAAAGCAGACTTCCTCCTCAAACAAATTCTTCCTCTGGATTTTAGCCTTAGTCATTTAAGACATATGGGATCCCATAATGTATGTTAATTCTTTCTGTGAAATAGGAAACAAGCTACAGTATGCTGCTGCTGCAGGCTCAGTGACCCATTTCTTGAGCTCAAACTAATTTTTTTTCTGGTGACTAATCCTTTAATAAAGTGCTTCTGCAGAGTTTACAGAGACAGAGATTTTTAACTAAGTCATGCTATGCCTCTTGTGATTTCTTTTGAGTTCCTGGACAATGGTAGAACTTTAAATTGCACATATGGAAAGTGTGATAAATGATAATTCTTTTAGAAGGCACATTTTAACACTATCCAGCTGCTGTGATCCACTTCTGAATGAGATACATATTGCAACAAGTATTTGAAAAGACCCTTATCTCTTAACACCTTCAAAGTTGGACAACTAGAAACTTTTCATGAAATACTTACAGCACTATCCATATAGGCTTCAGTCCATATGATGTCATGATCATGGTTGATAACCATTGGCCGACTAAGTACATGCAAATATTCCATGACATTCTCTTGCACATCAGCCAAAGTAGATATTTGTGTGTAGTAGCCTGACATGGAAAAAAATCACCATCAACAGAGTTAATTTTGTTTAAGTTGAGGTTTGCATCTCATTTGTTCCAAAGTTTATTGAATCCTGACCATTTGTCCTAGGATGTATATGTATCTACTGAAATCTAGTTTTTGGGACATTTCTTAAATGTTCTAGATTTTCCAATAGGTTCTAAAAGGCCAAAATTTCTGTTCACTTAGAAAAATCCATTAGGATGAACCTTCACGTATCCACCAAATTTTGATGCTATTCCATTTTCATCATAAACTTGCCTAACACATGTGGGCTTCAACCAGGAAGAGAACATTCAAAGGTTCTTAGACTTGGACATACTAAAAAAGGCTGTTTTTTTTATGAAATTTATGTAAAAAAATAATAGCAATGCTACATTTAAAAGGTAATGTGAAAGTGAACAAAGTTAGAAATACCTAACTGAAGTCACTGGAATTAATATTTTGAATTGCTTCCAATGGATTAAAGGACAATTATTTTTTATTAGTTTATACTCAAAAAAGATCTAGAGAAATCAAGGTCTTTGTCTCTCAGATAGAAAAGTATAGTATTCATGAGACCCTACAGAGAGGTATTTTGCAATAATATTACAAAAGCTACATCATTTTTTTTTTTTTTTTGCAGTATCAAATCCTCTCAATCACCCTGAAACTGCCCTTTGGCCATTGACTGATTTTTAGGGGAAAAATAAAGATTTACCCTTCATGTACAAAAACCAACCGACTACACCAAAATCACCACTACCATCAAACCTTCTGAAATTTTTCTAAACGTACTTTACATGTTTCTATTTGCAGGTAGTCCTCGATTTATGACCACAGTTGGGACTGGAACCTCCATTGCCAAGTGAATAGAAGGCTGTTAAATGAGTTGTGCTTGATTTTATGACCTTTTTGCCATGGTTGTTAAGTGAATCAAGGTGGTTGTTGGGTGAAGCAGATGGTCATTAAGAGAATCCAGCTTCTCCCCTCAACTTTGCTTGTCAGAAGCCAGCTGGGAAGGTTACAAATGGTGAACACATGATCCTAAGATGTTGCAACCAACATAAATCCATGAATTTTCACTATCTGACTGCAGGGACACTGCAAAGACTGATTGTAAATCACTTTTTTCAGCACTGTTGTAACTTCGAACAGTCACTAAATGAATGATTATAAGTCAAGGACTACCTGTGCCATCTTTGTAATTTATCCCATATTATACACAAGCACACTATTTGGAAATTTAGGAAAGGCCCAATTGAAATTTTTACTGTTAATTTTTTGCTTCTTTTATATTTTCTTTCAACCACAAAATGCTCCTGATTCAGTTTCCTGCGTAGTCTTCAAAATCTGTGGCAAATGGTTCATACAGGAGTAGGCATTACTATATTCTGCTACTTGTTTCTGGAACTTTAGCAATTCAAATTGGATTTGCATATCACAGTTACTATAATATAAAAATATATGATTGGCAAGTGCTTCTGTCTTGCAGAAAGGATGATTAAAATGAACTTTAATATATATTTTTTTACCTTTGTTGTTACAAGCTATCCATTTCACATTCTGTGCGAAACTGACTTCCCTCCCAATAAGGTATGTAAAAACACGGACCTGTCAAATGAGATTGCAAGCATTACAATGTAATATTAAAAACAACCAGCACTCTACATTATTAATCTTTCATTTTAGAAAACCCTGGACAAAATCATTATTTATCTTATTCTGACTCCCATCTGCAATTCTCAGGTCCCGCCACATTGTATCTCAGAGCTAAAGACCCCCCCCCCAAAAGACAGTCCTTATTTAAATATAGGAATAAGAGTATGTGGCAACAATTTAGTTTGAATTCATGGAGTACCTGTCAGATCTAGCTAGTACTTAGATGGGAAGGGTGCAGGAAATCTCAGGGTGATGGGCTAAATGGATTTTTAAAAAAAAAAAATCCTGAAAAGAAACAATGACACAGGACTTCCATGAAAAAAAAAAAACCCTACATGGATGTGTGTCCATGGAGTCACTACGAATATAGCTCAACTTGAAGAGGTCTTTGCTTTTATGAGTTTGTGGGAAATAATAGAGGTGAACCAAAGGAAGAAGTCAAATACAATTTGTCATAACCTTTTTAAAAGTGTAATTTCAAACTAACAGCTGTCATTATTTTACAGAGATTGTTACTGTGATTTTTTATGAGTTTTGACTTAGCATATGTGTGAACACAACCAACTGTTGATTCAAGAAACCATTAACCAGTTTCTTAAAATAGCTTGTGAACCTTTCATTCCCATTGCACTTGTCTAAACCTCATTTAAATATTTATTTTTTTGTTCTTCTGCTACCTAAAAAAATCAATATAGTGACCTATCACTAAATCCGTTCTAGACCAATCTCATTAATTAGGAAGATCCGTCCAAAATTATCTCAAGCAAAATTTTAGCTAGGAATCTAAGCGTCTCCATGCTACTTATTGTTTTGTTCCCTGCTCATGATTCATACCAGACCAGTTGATTTTCTATGCTCTTCTCTGTTTTTCACTTTGGAAGCTAACCTTACGATCAGGCCAGTTGAATTTCTCAAAGACATATTCATAATCTTCCATAGCTCCATCAGTGAGCAGCATGATTGCTTGGTTGCAAAGACCTCCTTGTCCCGCGTCTCTGAACTACAAACAGAACAAACCACAATGAAAATCTTACTGGCCCAAATAGTAGAGCAGATTAATGAAGTCCTTCGTTAAGCCTCAGCAACTTTTATCTACCATACTGAGAGGCGTGTTCAAAACAGATTTATTCATTTATTTTAATCCTGCCTTTATTATTTTTACAAGTAACTTAAGGCAGCAAACATGCCTTCCTCCTCATATTCTCCTCACAACAACAGTGCTGTGACGTGGGTTGGGCTGAGAGAGATGAACTGACCCAAATTCACCCAACTGGCTTTCCTGGCTAAGGTGGGACTAGAACTCATAGTCTGGTAGCCTGGTGTCTTAACCACTAAACTAATAAAATAAAATATAAAATAAATAATAAAAAGAATGTGTTCATAAAGGTCTCTCTACTTTTGTGCTAGATAATTCTATGATTATTTATGCTGGAAGGGAAAATCTTTGTACATGCCAGTAACATATTTCATAATAAGTCATAGGAAGAAAATATTAGCCATAAAATGGACAAAAACAATCCAGGCATTGTAGTCCAATCTACCCAACTTGAATTCAGTTATGTTCCAGAAGATCAGAACATTACTTAGGCTTCCAAAAATAAAAACAACACTTTTGCCTAATCTAAATATTTCTGGGTAGATGTAAGGTTGTTGGTATCATTATCATTATATGTACATTATTGATATTCCTCTTCATAGCTTCCAACTAAGGTGACTCTGGTGAATTGATGCTAGTTAAGTGTAGTGCCTCTTGGCTTAACTATTCTTTCCCAAAGTAATGTTTGCTGTACATCATCTGAAGGTTTGGGTGGAATGTTGTATGCTAGATGCAGGTTTTAAACTATGCGAATGAACCAGACCAGGAAATATACTAGGTTTAATTAAATAAAGTACATTAGGCCTTAGCATTCCAAAGCTCTTGCTCTCATCTTCTCTAATACCTCTACCTCTTTCTACCTCTCCTATTCCTAGGAAGCAGACCCAACCAAATATGCTATACTCTTGAACAAATATGAAATTGGAAAGATATAGTTATGATTAAACACAAAAGCCAACTCAGTGGTCTCCCTACTGAAGAAACAGAGTTTCAGGTTAATCTGCACCCTATCTATTAGGGCAGTGTTTCCCAAACTTGACAATTTTAAGGCATGTGGACTTCAACTCCCAGAATTCCACAGCCAGCATTGCTGGCTGTGGAATTCTGGGAATTGAAGTCCACATGCCTTAAAATTGTCAAGTTTGGGGAACACTGTATTAGGGTCATCTAGTCCCATGGGAACTTGGCAATATGGGTTGTTTTTACTCCCCACACCACTCCTAATATCTATTTTGGTCACAGTGACAGAACTGTTTTATTGCTATCCCGAATCCAACACATAATAAACATGAACAAGTAAATCAACGTTCTTAAAATAATAATGTCCGACCTGGTCTGCCATTTGAAACAACATGTTCATCAGCAGGTTTCGGCAATGTCACAAAGAGTATCTGTCACCATTATCTTTCTTTCTTTTTCCTCCAATGGTCTGCAATAATCAGCACAATGCTGCAGGACACGGAAGCCAGTGTGCCCTTAAAAAGTGGAATATAAAGAGTCTTACCTCCCTCAGGATTTTGAAAGATTCAGTCAGGGCTTTGTTCACCTTCCCAACTCCTTTTGCTTGTAACTCGTGCACCAGCTGCTTGAAATGCTGAGCAAATGAGACATTAAAAGTGACATTAATAGCAGTGATTAGAAACAATAGACAAAGGAGAATAAAGGCATGTCAAAACTTTAGAAAACTGCTTAAAGAACAGAGATCTCTAGCACAAGCTACATATGAAGGGTCCTTGGTAACATCATCCGTGCTAATCTAGACTAAAATCCTAAACTACAAATATTCTCCTTTATTGGCAAACTATCTATTTCAGCACTGGGACAGCTCCATAATTTGAGTTACCCAGAATAATACAGTACTTTCCAGTGAAGGCAACAGCAATTTGAAACTGTTAATTAGTAGTATAGAAAGATCGATGCATTTTTCCCTTCTCCTACCCTTCTTTTCTATACAGATACTCCTCGACTTATGACCAATTACTGAACAACCATTCAAAGTTATAACGGAGCGGCCCCAACCTTTTGGGCACCAGAGATCAATTCTGTGGAGAGAGTTTTTTTCCGCGGACCGGAGGGGGCATGGTTTTGTGTGTTGCCTGCATCCTGTGGATGGTGCTTCTCTTGTTTGCACAGCCCAGTTTCTGGCATGTCATGGCCCGGTGCCGGTCCATGGACCAGTAGTTGGGGATCCCTGTTATAATGGACCTCCCGAAAGTTACGTATGATCTGTTTTTGAATCTATGAGAACTGTACCCCTGTGATTATATAATTGCATATTGGGCTCTTGGCAAGTGGCTCAGCTTTACAGGATTTTCTGATGTCTTACAGGCATATGACCATGATTGGCAACACTTGTCAGTTTTTGGCATTTACTTCTGGTTTCTGGCAAAAAATGACCCTTGGGGAAAATAGATACACTTAACAATTGTAGTGTTCATTTAATGACCCCCACAAAAAATGTTGAAAAATCAGCTCCAGTGATGTGATGCCTAACTTACAAACATAATGACTTACAATGAAAAATCTGGCCCCAAATGTGGTCGTAACTTGGGGACTACCTATATGGCCTCTGTGTCTGCTGCTTCCTACAATGACCTCAGGAAATCCTGCCCCTCACCTTCTCACTGCTTTCCTTTTTCCATTCCCTTATCTCCCTCTGGGCCACCATTGGCATCTACATATTGATCTGTGCCCCTGATCCTTATTGCAACAATCTCAGAAATTGCCAGCTGGGCACATCCTACTAGTCCAGCTGTCCCCCAATTATTACAATATTCTAGTCAAGCTTTATTTTTTGTTTTTCTTCTCCAGATCTAGAAATTTATCTTTAATCCCAAATCTCATGATGAAATTCACAATTTCTTTTAAATATTAACATTTTTTTATTCTCTGGGAGACTTTATACTACCAATTAATCTAATTTATTCATTATTTAATCCCTCTTAATTGTAGTTATTGGAAGGCCACTGCTTTTTTAAAAAACATCCCATATTTTTGAAATGCATAGATTTTATGGTTCTTTGGTTGAGGAAATACAGATTTGTCATGAAAATACATCCAGGGCTTTGGTTGATCTTAGTTATCATTTTTTCTCTCCTTCCTTTTAAAACAAGCAAGCAAGCAAGCAAAAAGATTAAATGCAAAATGTTAGAGAGTGGGAGGAGATAGGGAGGCATACTTGCTGGGGAATTCTGGGAGTAGAAATCCACACATCTTAAATTTGCCAAGTTTGAAAGACTCCTCCAGATATTTTGGATTCTACATTTCTAGCTTCGATCATGTGAATTAGTATCCAATATCATCTTTAGGATCACTATTCCCTAAATGGGCTTAGATCAGGGCTTTTCAACCAGTGGTATGGGTACCATCTGTGGTACATTGGCACCTGGCAGGTGGTACGCGACCATCCTAGAAAAGTGGTAGCAGGGGAGAGGAATGAGCTGAACCAGTGGCAGCACCACACAAGCCTGAGCGAGAGATGGCTGGAGCTGCAGGGCTGTAAGGGCTCAGCGGAAGCGCCAGGATCAGCACTGTTTTCCAGCTGATCGGTGCTTCTTTGGGGCTGTTAGGGCTCAGTGGAAGCGCCAGGATCAACGCCAGGCTCCAGCTGGAGTTCGGCGCTGATCCTGGTGCTTCTGCTGAGCTCTGAAGAAGCACCAATCAGCTGGAAAGCAGCACTGATCCTGACGCTTCTGCTGAGCCCAGAAGAAGTACCGATCAGCTGGAATGTTGCCTTATCTCCAGGGTCTTGTGATTTACATTCAGATGCTTGGCAACTGATTCATATTTATGACGGTCACAGTGTCCCAGGGTCATGTGAAGTGACCAAAACCTGCTGCAACCACCCAGCAGACAGGTGGAATAAAAACCAAATACCCCCCACCTCACCCCCGCTGCCAATCCTCAACAAAAATGCTCACAACAATGAAAACCTTGAATAGGAGGAAGAGCGCGGCCGGGCGGGCAGACAGGTGTCTTGCTCGGCTGTGGCTTGGGGGGCACTTTTTTCAGTGCCATTGTAACTTCGAACAGTCATTAAGCAAATTGTTGTAAATCAAGGACTACCTGTACTTTATCACTTTTTTCCTTTTTTGGGGGGGTCATCAAGTTTTTGACATCTTGCTAGGCGACTGGTGGTACTTGGATGTTGCTATATCCTAAAAGTGGTACAATGGGTGAAAAGGTTGAAAAGCCCTGGCTTAAATGACTGAACTATTTAGCTAGCATTTGGATATATTGTATAAAAATAGCCACAGAATTCACAGGGGCGGAAAAAGCATTGGTTAAATATGTTTTATAACAGTTTATGGGCCTTTAAGTCCCCAGTGCTTACATGCCATATTCAGCAGAGAATGTCATTTCAAGTTTAATACTGACCTCCCTGTTATCTCTGTCAGCTTGAACCAGGATTCCCTTGAAACACGACTCAATGTAATGAACATAGTCATTGTACTGTAAAGAGAAAAGGAGGAAAATTACATGCTGTGAAAGGATTTTTTTTTAAAGAACTCTGAAAGCATGAGCAGATTTTATGCCAAATAAGGAAGATCCCTTTTATCCACAAACTGTCATCCTCACTTTGAGAGCAAGGAATACATTTTAAAATGCAAGGTGCTACAAAACAATTTTCATTGCCTTGTTGGAAGCAAATCTACACATGGATATGTAGGACATAATTTAGTAATTTTCACTGATGTTTAAACAGTACAGAGGGGAAAAAATGTAAATTAAGAAGCAAATAATCTTGGCTACATCTGCCTGTGTTTCTTTCCTTAATCTGTTTTTCAGTTGAATTGCATTTTCTAGTGTTTAGCTCCTTATTAGTCTTGCACTCTTCTTCATGCTGAATCAGGCAGCTTTGTTTGCTTCTGATAATGTTCTGGGTGCATCTTCTTCCCTTAAATGGTAATAGTCAACACAAGAAGGGTAAAATCCATAAGGAAATAAGGGAGACCTATTTATCATAACAGCTCTTTAGCAGTGAAACTCATGATTCAGAGAGGCTTCCTTTCACCGAAAGAGCTCATGCACAGGCTACATGGACACTTGTCTGGAATGCCTTCATTTCGGTTCCAGCGCCCAAAGTTCTAAGGGTCTCCTTCCACTCTCTGAATGATCAGTCCAACCTTCCTTGCCTCAAAGATATATAATAAGAAATTGCTCCCGAGGATTGTTGGTGAAGATCAAGGAGGAAGAGGAGGGCAAAGGATGCTGCCTGAATTAGTCTGTCACCATGTTATTTCTCTTATTTTGGAAACATATTCCATGGTGTTATTCTGCTTTTATCACAGCAACATATTGTTCTGTTTCTATACTGGAAAAATCAATAGAAATGGAACTGTGAGAGGGACCTTGGAGTCCTAGTGGACAATCACTTAAATAGGAGCCAGCAGTGTGCTACAGCTGCCAAAAAAGCCAACACAGTGCTGGGCTGCATTAACAGAGGGATAGAATCAAGATCACGTGAAGTATTAATACCCCTTTACAATGCCTTGGTAAGGCCACACTGGGAATACTGCATCCAGTTTTGATCACCACGATGTAAAAAAAAATGTTGAGACTCTAGAAAGAGTACAGAGAAGACAACAAGGATGATTAGGGGACTGGAGGTTAAAACATATAAGGAATGGCTGCTGGAATTGGGTATGTCTAGTTTAATGAAGAGAAGGATGAGGGGGGACATGATAGCAGTGTTCCAATATCTCAGAGGCTGCCACAAAGAAGGAGTCAAGCTATTTTCCAAGGACAAGAAGCAACGGATGGAAACTCATCAAGGACAGAAGCAACCTAGAACTAAGGAGAAACTTCCTGACAGTTAGAACAATTAATCAGTGGAACAACCTGCCTCCAGAAGCGTTGAATGCTCCAACACTGGAAGTTTTTAAGAAGAGACTGGACAGCCATTTGTCCGAAATGGTGTATGGTTTCCTGCCTGAGCAGGGAGTTGGACTCGATGACCTCCAAGGTCCCTTCCAACATTATTATTATTATTATGGATCATCGCACAGTCAGCCACATGTTCAGACTGGATTTGGCATTTTGTCTATCTATCGAGTCCTTACCCAGGACCTGGGATAGGCAGATGTGGATGTTTGATGGTATTACAGGTATCGTCGCAGGATGGAAGCAGTTCCTAGTAAGGCCGCCTTTTGCAATTGACTAATAGTGAATTTGTCAATGCCAATGGTGTTCAAGTGGTGCCCCAGTTGTTTTGGGATTGCACCCAAGGTGCCTATTACTATTGGTACTACCCTTGCTTGCTTTTGCCACAGTCTTTCTATTTCTATTTGTAGGTCTTTGTATTTTGTTATCTTCTCCAATTCTTTCTCGTCTATTCTGCTGTCTCCAGGCACTGCCACGTCCACTATCCAGACTTTTTTGTCTTTCTTATCGACAATTGTTAAGTCTAGGGTGTTATGTTGCAGGTGCTTGTCTGTTTGAATTCTGAAGTCCCAGAGCAGTTTAATTTTAACATTTTCTATGACTTTCTCTATTTTATGATCCCACCAGTTTTTGCTTACAGGCAAATGATATTTTTTGCAGATCTTCCAATGCACCATTGTTGCTACTTTGTCATGCCGCTGCTTGTAGTCAGTCTGTGCAATCTTCTTGCAACAGCTTACCAAGTGGTCCACTGTTTCTTCAGCTTCTTTGCATATTATTATTATTATTATTATTATTATTATTATTATTATTATTATTGTTGTTGTTGTTGTTGTTATTGTTATTACTACTACTACTATTACTATGACCCACTTTAGATTTATTGTTACAGTCAGAATAGTTTGTTTGACTCCTCTGTAGTAGAATAAGAGTATTCTTCATTCAGCTAGTTTTCTCAGACTTTTTATGGATGCCCCAAATATAATGCCTGTCTCTTCAAAGACTGGTGAAGATTCAGGGGAGGAGGATGCTTGAGGTTTCTTTGTTATTGGGGGGCCAGAACTCAAGTCCCTATGGAACAGTGGTTCTCAACCTGTGGGTCGGGGGGTCGAATGACCATTTCACAGGGGTTGCCAAACAACGCAGTCCGCCATTTTCCCCCCCTTTTCCTTAGCTGTGCTACTCCCTTTTATTCTATTGGCTTTTGAAAGCCAATAGAATAGACTCTCTTCAATAGAGTCTAATGCTATTGGCTTTCAAAAGCCAATAGGAATTGTCCAGGCTGTCTCTGCCTTGCTGAGCCCGCCAAAAGTCCCATTCTGCAAACGGTGCTGTACCAGTTGAGTAGTCCTCGACTTACGACCGGTTGAGTAGTCCTCAGCTTACGACCGGTTGGGGGTCACGGCATTAAAAAGGTTGAGAATCACTGCTATGGAAGAAGATACTTTAAGAAAAGAGACTTCATACTCCCAAGTTGAGGAATTTTAAAGAAATTGGTTGTCCGGCTGTGCTTAAATTCTACAACTTCTCTGAGCTACCCCAAAGGCAAAATTATTTTGCCAGAGAACCTGTTGAGATGGCTGTATTAACTTCCTGACCAATAAATAAATAAAAAACCCACAGTTATGCTTGCAAACTTCAGTCTGAATTATCTGCAGGACTATATCCAGAACAGGCTGGTCTAATGCTCACTAAGGGTACCCTTCTGAATGGGCTGGATTATCTGGGGTGATCACTTCCATTATTTCAAGACAGTTGAGTTAGTGGCCATGGTGGGCGGGGTGATGGCGATTGTAATCCAGGACAAATCTCATGGGCATCATAGTAGAGAAAACTGTTGAGAGAGTCCTGTTTTATAGTGCAACAGCTCAAGACTGTGCCACAGTCCCAAAGGATTGGTTTCTGCTGCCCAGAACTGCTGTAAACAAGAGCATGAAAGAAGCCCAGTGCAGGGGCTAAATAGACAAAGATGGAAAGACTGCAGATCAACAAAGAAATGAACAGAAGACTCAGAAAAAAAATCAAGAGAAACACAGAGATGACAAACAGGTTACATACAACCTATTGTACTTGCTGGGTTCTTTTATCTATTGATACAAGTGGTATCACTGTGCACCATTTTTAAAGTACGTGACAGTTCTTTACCTCAAGTGGCCTAAAATCTAACATTCGTGAAAGGAAACAGGAAAGGAGAAAAGGAGGCAAGCAGAGACAGGGTTTCACCAAATATGATTATGCATTTATTTCAGCTGCACAAGCTTCAGCTTAGTGACAGGCTAAATTATTGAGAGAGACCTGAAATTACTTCAGGGCTCCAAATCAGGTAGAGTGGAGGAACAAAGCATTGATTAGTGAGGCAAGTGCTGAGACAGCACAGTGGGGCTACCCAGGGATATTTCCACATTTGCTCTGCTAAATATCTCTCTTTTGTATCTCCATGAATCCATCTTTTAAGGATAATATGCCACTGCCAGGGTTGTCCCTTTTTATGAGATGGGGATGGATGTAAGGGCTCTCTTGCATTTTAATCTCATGAAATTACTCTTGAGAGTAAATATCCTGTCCAAGCCTGCTCAGACTCTTAATCTCATAGCAAAAGCTATTTTAAAAAACTGTTGGATGACCAAAGCCAGATAAAATAATTCTATTTGAAACAAATACTGGAAGCTAAAGGGAGAATTTGGTTTCTTTATATATTTAGCCAGATTTTTTTTTTTTTTTGCAATAATATGTGAAACTAAACAATCAGGAAAATCACTTCTATAAAATCTAAAGCTATCCCAAAAAGATGTGTGCTTTTCTTTTCTTTTTTAATAAAATAGAAGGATCCATCCATGTCCACAAGATGTAGTAAAATAGAAGGATCCATCCATGTCCACAAGATGTAGTAAAAAAAAAGTCAAGAGAGTAACATTCCTCCCCCCATTTTATGTGTCAGATGTGTTGCAACATACAAAAACAAATAGGTGGCCCATCAAGCACACCATTGTGGCCACTATCCTTGTTTTGAATACACCCTGCAAACACATCTGAGTTACAGTCTTTTGGAATGAGTAGTTTATACTTTGAATATATCACACCTGATAGTCAAAGGGCTGATTGTCCAATCATTTGTAACCATTCAGTGCATACAGGCTTTACGAAAAGTAGACCTAATTGTTTGGAAGAACAATAGAGATAATAATAATAATAGTAAAGTTGGAAGGGACCTTGGAGGTCATCTAGTCCAACCCCCTGCTCAGGCAGGAAACCCTATACCATTTTGGACAAATGGCTGTCCAGTCTGTTCTTAAAAACCTCCAGTGTTGGAGCATTCACCACTTCTGGAGGCAAGTTGTTCCACTGGTTAATTGTTCTAACTGTCAGGAAGTTTCTCTTTAGTTCTAGGTTGCTTCTCTCCTAGTTTAGTTACCACCCATTGCTTCTTGTCCTGCCTTCAGGTGCCTTGGAAAATAGCTTGATTCCCTCTTCTTTGTGGCAGCCCCTAAGATATTGGAACACTGCTATCATGTCCCCCCTCGTCCTTCTCTTCGTTAAACTAGACATACCCAATTCCAGTCCCCTAATCATCTTTGTTGCTCTTCTCTGTACTCTTTCTAGAGTCTCAACATCTTTTTTACATCGCGGTGACCAAAACTGGATGCAGTATTCCAAGCGTTGCCTAACTTTACCAAGCAAAGTTTCTGAATAAATAAACTGAGCATCTAATGAAGATGATAATGTTCTGTTTGGCTTATATCCCATCATTTTCCAGGAACACCCAACAACCATCTGGAAGTAAGTTGGAATGAGCTTGAATGACTGGTCCCAAGTCATCCAATGAATTTCCATAGCTGAGCATAGATTTGAATCTTAGTTTTCCCAGGTCACCATTTTAAAACACATAACATCCCACACTGACCTACCGGTACTCATTCTAAAGGAAAAGAGAGCTTCAAGGAAAGAGATACTTACAGCAATAATATTGACAAAATCATTTTCTCCCAGTGTGTCCAATATAGTGACAACAGTGTGTTTAGCAATGGTAAGACGCAAACCCTTCATGCTTCCACTGATGTCCACCACAATCACAATATCTTTGGGTGATGTAGCTGCCTGGATATACCTTAAGACACGTGTAGGATAGGAAAAGGAAGCCAGAGATATAAAGCAAACATATTAAAGGAGACACAGTGGAGAATTTGGACCAATCACAGCACTCATGATCCTAGGCTGAAAGTTGCTCCTCCTTCCTATTCTTCTTTCTTATTAATGTGGATACAGTGAATATTTGAGTTAAGAGACTGATCAGGCAGGAGCAAATTCCCATTTAATTCCAAATTAAGACAATCATAGCAATTTACCTTATTTGTATTATAGTATCAGTATATAAATAACATAAATCATGGAGCATGGCATAAAATGAGCATAAGTTTATGTATTTTGCTTGAATCACTTCAGGCGCAATGAACTTATCCTTTAAGGGTGGTGAGAAGAATATCGAAGTAAAAATTTGGACAACTGTACTTGCAGTTTGTACAATAGGTCTTCTTCCGAATACAAATGCATAGATTTGTCCAGACTTTAGGATTTTTCTGCTTCTCAGTGGTAAATTTATTTTGGAATGATTAGGGTTTAACTCATATGAGAAAAACAAAGATAATCTATAGAGTTAGTAACTGAAACAGGAGATTCACTTTCAATAGTTCTAGTCATGTCAAGATGTGGACACAGTTTACAGATGCCTTTTACAACATGCATGATTCTTCTGGATCACAATATTGGTGCACAAACAGTGGCTCCTTCTAATACCATCATCACACCTACTAAATCTCTTGATGTTTTCACAAAAATTAAAGAATTAAGTGGCTATGAATTTTTATTCAGCTGTACAGAAAAGCCAAAGAGTGGCTGAAAAACAATATCAAAATTGTTTTATGGAAATGCACTGAGCTGGTCTCCAGGAACTTTGGGCAGATATCCAAAAGTTGTTGCCCAGATAACCAAAACTTGTTGCCAAAATAATATTTTTAATAAGACACAAAGGAAATTATTCAACACTTAATTGAAAAGTGATTATAATACCTACATATTTAAATATAAACATAATCAAGTCCAATTTGATAGTCCCATCCATTACTATTGAGAGCATAATCCTTAGATTAATAGCTCCAAACTTGAAAGATTTAATTCTGGCAGTTTAGATTGATTTATAGAAGGTGGGTTGTCTATGAAAAGCAGCAGCAGCAAAATATTGGTATCCAGTGCTCAAACTGAGTTTCATAAAGATAGTACTTGAGTGGCAACCATTTGTCTAGCCACTGTTTGAAGTTACAATGGCACTGAAAAAAGTGAGTTACAACCAGTCCTGCCACAACATTCACATGGACATGTGATCAACATTTTGGTGCTTGGCTGAAACAAGGTTTCAGGAATTCTGGGAGTTGAAGTCCACGAGTCATAAAAGAGCCAAAGTTGCCTAGGGTATCACTCAGATGGCAATGAAAAAATGGAAAGGGTAATTGTCTTAATGCTTTTTTTAAAAAAAAGAAAGCTATTGTATTGTACAAAACAATTTTATATATTCCAATACAAAAAACCTGAATAGAAGAAGCTCATGGATGAACTGTGGAGACTGTGGTGCTCTCCGGTTGTTTGCTTGCAAACGTTTATTACTCAATATACTGCATTGATGATGATATCTAATTGGGTAATGAAATGTCTGCAAGCAAACAACCAAGCTCAGAGGTCATCAAGGACTCCACAAAATAAAGAAGGTCCACTAAAGCAAATACATGAACATTGGTTTCTTCCTTCTAAATCTCTCACCAGCCTCGATTTCTGCAGTCAAAGGAAAGGACTCCATTTTCATCTGGTTTCCATTTTATTCCTGAAGAGATATCACAAGACATTTGATAAAGATCTAGTTCACAGATTTTACAATGCAAATATCAGGATTTATCTGGTTTTTTAAGGTAGGCTACTTTTGAGAGATAGAATCTAATTAACGAACATTTTTTACTTTACGATTTTTAATCTTGCAATTACAGATAAAAACATAAAAGCCAATTTTAATTGTGATTTTACAGATGCTGACATTTTTGTCCTTAATAATCATATTATCAGAATTTTGTAATACAGGGTAGGTGTGTATTAGAAAAATAAACCCATCAAACTCAGAAAAATCATGCTGATTCTCAGCTTCCTTTATTCAGGAAAAATGACTTTTGATTTATTCTACTTTTTAGGTGAAACCTAACATTTGGAAAAATGAAGACAGAACTAAGACCTGTCACCTGGATAAAGCCTGAAGAAACCTGTTGTGCTGCCAAAATACTGCCAAGTGAGAGTTGGGTCTCGTTCAAAGTTCTCCACAAAAACAGCATCTAAGGCTTCTGACATGTAAATTCCATTCACAATGTCAGGGTCTGAGGGAAAAAGAATCAACTTTATTCAGTAAAAGAAGAACCACCTTTTGAAGAATGATAAGCATGATGGAATGATACTGAACTGTTTACAAATTAATTAACATCTATTCAAGCTTCTCCCTAAAGCAGCCATGTCAAACCTGTGGCGTCACGTAACATCGTACAATGTATTGGAACTTTTTCCCAATTGCCGGCAATGGGTGCAGTTTCCTTGTGACACATCTGGCCTACAGGCCGGCAGTTTGACACCCCTGCCATAAAGCATCAACAGTTTAACAGCGTAACATGTAACATATGGAAATATAATATATTAACTATTGATCCATCTAACCCAGAGTTTTACTTTATTTGGAACAGTGAGCTATAGGCTCAAATTTGTTATTTTGGAGACGTTTGAAAGTGGGATGGAAAAGCTGTGTTGTATGTGTAATATAGGCTGGCACATCTATGACCAAGTTCAGAAATTTAAACAAGAAAGTAGGGTTATAGTGGGCTTCCTAATCTAAATCATCACTCCTCAAGATAAGTTGTGCAAATGAAGTACAGTACCTCTGTTTCAAAGTATTACAAGTACCCGTATTCATTGAAAACTGTTAACATAGGCACATTCTCTGCAAAACTGTCATCCTAGATTTGGAAAGAATCTGGCTATTTTAATATTTCAGAAACATGGCTCATTCATGCTAACATGTTTCCCAAAGCATCACTTCAAAATTTTTGTACAGACCTTTTGACTTGTTCTAAATCTAATTTTACACCCAAGCAAACAGAAAATTGGCTGCCAATCTGCTTCCAAGTACAATTCAAGGTATAGGTGATCACCTTTAAAGCTCTTCATGGCATGAGTCCAGGTTACTTGAGGGACCATCTCACCCCACTGGGATTGGCCAGTTCCATTCATGCCACAGAAGAGGCCTGCTGTGGGCCCCATAAGCCCGATTATTCTGGCTGGTGGGGTCCAGGAAAAGGGCCTTCTCTGCTGTTCCTCCTTCCCTCTGGAACATCTTGATGTAAGGTTGGTCCCAAACCTTCTATTCTTTTGTAAAGACCTGGCTCTGTCAGTTAGCCTGGGGCCCCAATGGGGGAACAGCACAGAGGAGGTGGTTGATCAATTAACAACAGATCCCACCTCCCCCCATTCCACCCTGCCCTCCCCTTGAGTCCTTAGATTTTAATCTTTGGTTTTAATTTTTTATGTTTTACTGTAGATATATTTTTATGGCTGTAAGCCACCCATACTTACCTTATGGTAAGATGGGCGGCTAATAAATTTTATAAAATGAATAATAAAATAAAGTATAATTAAATTGGGACACTAAAATGACAGGCTTCCTAAGTTACATTAGCCCTGACCCTACCAACCTTTCATAAAAATTTCCTCATAAAGGAGCCCTAATTCTCCAGAGCTACCAGAAGTTTAGATAGCACCTAATATGTTATTGTTAACTATTTATAAGATTTCTTGTTGTCAGCCATTATGGGTTTTTATGCTTTTGCAATTATGGAGTGGTGGTGATGGTGATAATATTGTTAATATGCTGTTAGCCACCTAGAGTCACCTTTAAAAAATGGCACTCATACAAACTGAACAAACAAACAAACAAATATTGGAATGAGGAAAAGAATAGCTCATTCTCCATTTCTGTGCTTAATTAATAATAAAAGTATTATTAATTATTTGTTAATGTCTAAATATCATCCTTTTTAACCTACAAAACATGCATTCTTCCCCTGAAGTTGCATCTTTAAAAATTCTGCATCCAATTCTAGCAACCAACAATACTACATAGTATATACTTGCATGCGTACAACATACATAAGTATGATTGCAATCCACTTCTTTATCTTTATTTATGACACGTGCATTGAGCATTGGCTGTCACTTTCATGCCAATTTTACAATAAAACTATAGAAAAAAAAGAGACAAACCTTTGTTGTAGACATTGGTTGGAAGTTGTACATTACTGTATGTTGTGTTCACTGGCAAATTATTGAAATGCTCATTTGGCTCCAGAATGAATTCATTCCCGAGTGGCACATAATTACCTTTTTCATCCTTTTCATTAATCAAAACAGCATTGTAATAATCAAACTGGAAGTGAAGAAAAATAGAAAAATGAATGAATACATAATTTTCAACAGTTAAAATCCATGCTGATCCTTACATTTTGTTTCGAATGAGTTCTTGGATTCTGTTAAAATCAAGACAGCTTGGTGAAAATAATTTCATCCCCAAATACAAGTGTTTGCATGGAGAAAGACCTCTAATAGATCAAACCACAAAGACTTGTGAAAGATTCAGTAAAAGAATGTTTCAATAGCAAGTGCTTATGAGGTTTCGGAGGGTGCCCAAATTTAGTTAGATTATTCAGATTATTTTCTTGGACAAAGAAAATAAAGCAGTGTTAACCATTCTAATATACATAGGGCTTTTCCTGACTTTTCTTCTTTTGGAAACCGTGGAAAACATGCAGGAGATTATATGAGTCTTTTTCAACTGAAACCATTGCAAGACTGCACTGCTATGATTGCCACCGTGGCTATTTTCAACCAATCCTTCTTCCAATTCACACATACATGCTTCTCTCCAGCTTGCCCTCACTATAGTCTTGCAACTAAGTTAAGCCAGGAATCAGGAGATCATGACTGAAGAACCCATGTTTCTCCATCCTAAACAGCCAGAGGTAAAGCAGAGATTCCAGGGATGAGCCAAGATGAAGGCATAGAAAGAAAGCTCACTTTGGCTTTTCCCCCATTGCTTCATGAGAAATCGGCAGGTTGGCAGATGGAAGAGAGAAGTCTTGGCAGCTTAAGCCTGAAAGCTCAGGAGGAAACACTGTGGCAGGCCCTCATGAGCAGTAATTACAAAGAGTCCATTGGAGCTGGGCTGCTAATAAATTCAAATAAATAAATACAGTTGTGAATTCTGGAGGTAATGGAGAAGGAGCAATTTTCTCTGCCCCCTATGTTGAGCCTGGTTTCTTTAAGTAAAACAAAAAACAAAAAAACAAGTGTCTTACCTTAGTTACTGGATTAATCCATTTTTAATGTACTGCATAGTAGATTATGCATATTTTAATGTACGGCATTGTACAATGTGGCAGCATAAGCAGTTTGAGGTGCCTCTAAGGCAGACATGTCAAACACAAGGCCCGGGGGACGGATGCGGCCCGCAAAGTGGTTTCATGTGGCCTGTGAAGCCATTCAGGAAACAGTGAGGGAACGGCCCCCAATGCCTTGGCCCTGGCCCAGGCCGACCGGCAACCAATGTACAATTTTGTGATGGCCATCTATGCTGAAATGCATTCACTCTTAGCTCCACAAGGCCATCTGGAAATAGCAAGGAACCAGCCCCTGCCGTGTCGGCCCTGCCCCCTGGGTGCATGCTGGGGAGGTGTCACCCTTTGTGAGGAATGAAGAAATGCACCATCGCCTGGAAGTGGCCAGCAAATGGCCCTCGCCTACTTCACATATCTGGCAGAGGGGTTTCAGCAGGCAGTGAGGCTCCTCCAGTGGACCATGCCTTGGCACTTGCCCCGGTCCCACCCCCTTCTGCCAGAGACCCTCAGATCTGTCCCACTCCTGCCCAGGCCCCCACAGGCACCCTTGATGCGAACGATGTAGAGCTGGCCATGCCCACCCAATAGGACACACCCACTCCATCCACACCTACCCAGTAGGCCACACCCACCCTGGCCACACTCACCCAGCCCCCCGAGGGCAACCGCAGTGCTGATGCGGCCCTCAATGAAATTGAGTTTGACACCCCTGCTCTAAGGTAAGCTGCACTGGGTGCCAGTTTGTTTCCACATCCAATTCAAGGAGTTGGTTATTACCTTTAGAACCCTTCACCACAAGGGATCAGGTTACCTACCCAAGGAACTATCTTGTTCCTATTTTAGTCAGGCAGCAAAGGTATGTTGTAGACCTGTCAGTTAAAAAGTTATGATTGGTGGAGTCTCCAAAGAGAAATTTTTGTTTTTTAACTTTGCTGTTAAGTATGGACTTTATATAATTTTATCATTTTATTTGTAAACTGCTCAGAGTCACACAAGTGTGATGGATGGTGAAGATGTTTGATAAATAAACTGGCTAAGACATGTAGCATTACAATATTCTACATCTATTCTTAGTCAACACCAGTTGGCAGTAGTCAACTAACTTGGTTAAATGTGTTGTGTGTAACACAATCAAAGAGAACTCAGTGTAGCCATCTAAAGCAAGAGGAACCTGAGATCCAGCTCACTGGGGCAAAAATCATTGGGTAAACTTTACAAATGAACAGAGATTTTAGCCTTATATGTTCACCTTGCATTTTAACTGAATATTTCTGCTGAATAGTTTAAGACTTCTGTATTCAGGAATGAATCATATTCTAAAGGGGGGGGTGGTTCCCACTATTTGGACCTTGTGCTCTTTTCTTCTTCACATTGGTTAAAAATGTTCCAATTTCATTTAGTTCAATATATTTCACTTTCAGTAACTAGATTTATATTATGGGTAGAACTTGTATGTTTGCAAATCCCTCGTGAGATTAGCATAGTCAAGCAAGAGCAGTATTTCCAAGATTAGCATGACCTATTCATGAATATATTTGCATAACATTGTGTCTATATAAAAAGGTTTATCACATTTATGGCATCCATTTGATGTTTTATGTTCTCGCCATACTACATGGAAACATCATTGGTTTGACTCAGAAAAATACCATAATGCTTTCATTCATACTTAACTGTCTCTGCCACAGTGGTCAGTTTTAATAGCATTAATTTTAATTTTAACACCATTTTAAAAACATCAGTACTCTGCAATGGTTATCACTACAGGCTGCAGCTTAGATAAGATTATACAGGGAAAAGAAATTAGTTTACATATACTTACTCAGTTCCTCAGCAATTCTAATTTTAGGCAATGACTGATCAGTTTAAATGGGCTGATACACATCACAGACAAGCTGTCAACTTTGCTCCCAAACATAAATCAATATCAGCTAAAGAATCAGAAGAATGCATCCCTACCAAGGCTGTAAATTTAATATGGCAGAGAGCATAGATGTCTTTGAAAAATCAAGTGGCCAAGAGTGATGGACCTGTGACCCTCCAAATGTTGAGAGACTACATCCACCTGTACCACCAGCCTTAATGCTGGCCCCAACCAAAGTTGTCATCCTTTAATACAGGGGTCTTCAAACGTTGCCCTTTTATGACTTGTGGACTTCAACTCCCAGAATTCCTCAGCCAGTGTGCCTGGCTGAGGAATTTTGGGAGTTGAAGTCCACAAGTCATAAAAGGGCCAAGTTTGAAGACCCCTGCTTTAATATTTAGAGGACTACAGCTTCCCCATCTTGTCATAATTAGTTGGATGCCTTTGTTGGAGACAGGTTACCAGTTGTCCAGCAAGAGTTCTACATGACACATAAGTTGACTTTACAACAGATTATCTGAACTTAAATGATATCATATATCTTTTACCTGTAATGAAGAGTTGTATTCATGATAAACATCAGCATCTTCTGCAGCTTCAACTAACCGCTATAAGAAAGAAAGAAGAAGGGAAGTTAAGGGACCATAAATGGAAGCAACAATAAAAGCAGCACATCTACGAGTGTATATGTGTGTTTGCAAAAAATTCAAGATGGCAACTACAACCATGCTGTCAAAGTCCCAAATCCTTTTTCACACACAATGCACACTAAAACAGGGCATGGTTCCAATTATACTTTAATGGTTTCCATCTTTGACTTTGTTCTTTCCCCCCCAGATGATCCTGGCCCAATCCATAAATCTACTGTTTGCTTATTAAGGAAATTAACCCTTATCTTGCAGGGACCTATACGGGTGGGATATGGGGGGGGGGAGGTTGAAGAATGCATACAATGAAAATGAAAATATCATTTTTTCCAAATGTATTATTTTCCTGGTCTTAATGCCATGTTGGATTGCCAGTAAAGGAGAGCATCGCTAAGCATCATGGCATGTATATGTGAAGTAGAGACTGGTAGCTAAAGCTATTCCACAGATTGCTGAAATACAACTCCCAGCATTCCTTTGAACTTCTTTCCTTCTTTTATTTTATTTTTTTCATTTTAATTATTAATTTATGTTAGATATTTTAGTTTTTTTAGTGGAAAAAAATCTAATAGTTATCTAAAAAAAGGATGCAAAGGATGCTAACATTCCTGTCTTGTGATGAAGGCATTTGTACCTATTGAAATTGTAGTTTTAAGATCAAAATGAAAGACAGAATATACTACATACTACATTACATGGTTTGGGGAAAAGGGAATCTATGAATCACTGGAACATAGAAAGCTGCCTTATAGCCCGTCAAATGGACATTTCATTTAATGCAATATTATTTTTTCTGACTTGCACTAAATGGGTAGGTTGTAGTGTGTGTGTGTGTGTGTGTGTGTGTGTGTATGTGTATGTCTCTCTGTGTGTATTTATATGTATATATTACACACACATACATATACTGTATACACATATAAATATATTATAAAATTTGGATTGCTAACAAAGAATTAAGGGAAAATGGAATAGCTATTTCGAACTTTTTAGTTCTCATCAACCAGACATACCCTTCTGAGATTTGAACCTGGGCTGTCTGCATGTTAAGCAGCTGTGTTAACCTCTAGACCACAGGCTCTTTCTCACTTTGTCAGCTGTGTCAGGGAGGGAAGAGACAGGGGGAGGAATTACCTTGAGTGCTTTTTGATGCACCCTGTCGATCCAAATACAAGGCAAAAGATTTCTTTCTCCCATATTTGGGTCGACAGGATGCATCAAAAAGCACTCAACATATATATGTGTGTATATGCTATAACTGTCTCTGTGTGCGTGTGAGTGTGTGTGAGAGAGAGAGAGAGAGAGGGAGGGAGGGAGGGAGGGAGAGAGAGAGAGGGAGAACCTCTATCACTGAATTATTTCTTACCAAATCTAAAGCTACACTTTATGTAGTGGTTTACTATGCTGTGTTTAGAAACCATTGTGCATTCTTTTTTCACATTTCTTTATTTTTCTTACTTCCGAGTAGATAAAAGTTGGGAGCCAAGTAGTCCTTACCTCAACAGCTTCTACTTTTCTATGTAGCATTCTTGCCATTTCTTTAGAGAATAACTTTACCAGCTCCAAGCCATCCACCTCTTTGATCTTTAGATTTGGTTCCACATCTTTATACTTCTATCAAACAAACAGAAGGACAAACTCACAGCTGAGATTTTCAGTAACCACAATCTGGACTCTAGTGAACAATGATTTTAAAAATGCTCATGCATCAAGTAAAAATGTATTCATAGACCTGAGATACAACGATGACCTAAAATCTTTTTCAGACTTCAGGATTTCAACTTCACCTCTTTTGGTTCAGAGAAAGCTTAGGAATTCATGGATGTCAAACCAACCATGGATTTATCTGAGATCATCTGTTTTTATCAATGGTCACCATAGAGCAAAGGATGGCACTCCAGTACTATTTTACCCACCCTTGTATCCTCCCCCTTTGTTTTCAACTATTCCTTTCATTTCATATTTTCATGGCGAAAAGGGAGTCACTGTGCAGATCAGCAAAGCTGCTTCCCCAGATCTACTGTGATCTATTGGGAAGGAGGATGACAAGTTACAAAGTGCCCTAACTTTAGAAGGGAAACCTAAGAGCTGGGAGCCTGGGGAAGTTCCCAAACTGTAATTCACCCATGTCTGCCTCTGAGGAAATGTTGCAAAAGTATCTTCACGGCATTTTATTTAGAGCAGCAGCTGATGTGCAAGATAATCATCAGTTCAAGTTCTCCACAAATAACATGGCATAGCAGGGCAGAGTTATAAGCTCAGATAGCTGCAACACTGGTTTGTGAAAGAAGCGATAATTAAAAAGAAAAAAAAATAGTGAGATGAATAGTCAAGGATTCTGTGTGTCCAATGCCTGTTTTACTCTTCTTTAGAGAAAGCAGTGAAGTATATGATGAGTAGCAAACACCTTAAGAATAAAGAAGGGACGAAGAGGTGAGACAAAAATAGAAATGAGCCTCCATTCCAATAGGTTGGATAGAAGCTGGTAGCATCACCTGATGTGATTAGCAACATGCAGGTTTTGCAGGATTAAAGACAGTCAGTCTCTCCATCCATGCTGGTGCTAATAAAGAGAAATAAGGAGGAGGTGAAGCTGAGGACAAAGGTTAGCTGATTGACACTGCCAAGCAGCAAAGTTAATGAGTGATAATTTAGCACTGATAACAATATACGGAGAGCCAGTTTAGTCTAGTGCAGTGTTTTTCAACCTTGACAATTTTAAGGCATGTGGACTTCAACTCCCAGAATTCCACAGACAGCATTGCTGGCTGTGGAATTCTGGGAGTTGAAGTCCACATGCCTTAAAATTGTCAAGGTTGAAAAACACTGGTCTAGTGCTAAGGCATCAGTCTACAAATGAGGAGACTGTTGAGTTCTAGTCCCATTTTAGGCATGACAGCCAGCTGGGTGACTTTGGTCCAGGCACTCTTTCTCAACCAAATCCATCTCATGGGATTGTTGTTGTGGAGGAAATGGGAACAGGAGGAATATGAGATAGGCTTGCCATCTTGAGTTATTTTTTAAAAATAATAAATACAGAAAATAAATAAAAGGAAAATAAATAAAATAGGCAATGGGCTGAGCAGAGTAGCAAGTTTACAATTCATATCCAGGCTTTCCTGTTCCCCCCTCCCACCCTTAAAGTCTGTAGATATGTCATGCCCACACAGCAGTTCAGCCTCCTAGTTTTTCAAAGAGTTTAATCAGCAGAATGAGTTGATTCCATCACAAAAATGCATGCTACGTGCCTGACACTCTTGCTTTGTGCTTCTGTACAGAAATATAAGCACAGATATGTACATTTCAGAAACAAAGCACTATTAGCAATGACAAAACAGTGATAACTGAGGGCAAAAAGTTTCTCAACAGGTATGCTGATGAATGATAGCTAACATTTTGTCCCTCATGAGCAGTACAGATGGTTTTAACTACAAAAAGGATGAATAAGACCTGCATAATTTGACATGCATAATTTGAAGTGTTCTTAATACAGTATGTTCAGGATCAGGATGAAAGGAAATTGTTTCTTCTGGTTTGCAGAGAAATACACCTCTAATTAGCTAATGCTATGTAATCTCATAAAGGCACTTAAACCCCTCTCTTAATCAGAGTGCCTTCTTCAACCTTGAAAACACTTTCATTGGTCAGAACCGGATTCCAAAAATGGGAATCTCCTATCATAATACTATAAAATTTAGCTAGATTAACATTTGAAACATGGACTTTTTCCAGACAGAGAATTCCTAATGCCTTAGTCCAAAGGCACTGTAAGCTAAACTAGTCTGTCTTTTCCTTTTTAAAATGGTACAACTGGTAGAAAAGAAATAAGAGCTACATATAGAGGAGGGAACCATCTGGACCACTTCAATCCTCATTCAACCTCAGTGGATAACATTGCCAGATTCTACTGCTAAAAAAATATCTATGTCTCTGAGCATAAGAGATTTTATCTAGTCATTTTGTTTTCTTTGTGCATAGTTTTATATACTCTATTGATAGTAACAGGTTTCACTTAGGCCATTACTCAAATTTGAAAGCTAGCAGACAGAGATTTAAGGACACAACTCTTTGATAGTCTAGTTTTATTATAGATACTTAGAACAGAAAACCAAAGCCATAAGCCAAATGACACTTGAACCCAGTTCAACTTTTAGTTCTTTTTTTCTTGCTTGTGCAACTCAATGGACTGCACATTTCTCGAGGATGGGGGCTATTGACATCTATAACAGTGTTATTTATTTATGAAATTTATTTGCTGCCCATCTTGTATCCAACAACTCTGAGCAGCTTATTGGTCTCAGATTCTCGGATTCTTTGCATCTAGCCTTGGTCCTTATAGCCCTGCCAATTATGATGCTCCCTCTTGTTTATTTTTTTTCCAAAAATGAAAATTTTCAAGCATTACGTGCAATCTTTTCTTATATAGGGATGTAACAATTTCTGTACCTTTGCTCTTTTGCATGTCTTTCATGCTATACTTTTCCATATGGTGGTCAGAATTATGTATAAAGTTGCAAAGTGGTTACATTGATTATTTTACCACTATCACCCTTCTTAATGAATCCCAACAGAAATATTCTGAATTCTGGGCCGATGTATACATAAGACTGTACTACCAGCTTAGACTTCATTTGAGTACAAAGTTAGGATCCTTGCTAATTTTTCTACTCTTCTGCTACAGAATCCCAACTTGAGGATATGTTACACTGTATAATTATATGAGATCAGCAGTCCCTAAAATTATTCAAGAAACTGTTAATTACTAGTTGAAAAAAATGTGTTTAAAGCTACCCTTCAGCAAAAGATTTATTATAATTAAATGAACTTCATCTGGAAGTGTTTGGTTGGAAGATGTTTCCCTGCAGGGAACCTGTTTTTCTTAACTTTAGTTTCATTAATCATGTTCTTATCATTAATCCATGCTCTCTGTTTCATATATGAGTGGAACAGAGACCGTTTAAATAAATCAAATAAATTGGTCTGCCACCATACTATTTTGGACCCAAGACACAGTAACTCTCCAGTTAGTTACACGAAATGGGTAAAAATCAATTGCTTTAAAATGGAAAAAAAATATATCCTGGGCTGTCTGCGAAAACATATATGCTGGCACTGCAGCAAATGTCTTACTGGTTAGGATTTTCATTCGTTGTTGTGATGTGATGACCATTGGGTACTGAGAAATGTGCAAAGGTGATGTAGTGTTATATATTACTTCCCCTAGGCTACCTAAGTGGGGTGCTTCAAACTCATTATGAAATTTGGCAGCAAAGAAAGGGAGTGATTAGCTTAGAAAAGGAAGTTTGATGGGAACCATATTTCCAGTTAAATTCACTTTCACCTTCAGGGTGAAGGAGATAAAGAAATTGAAAGGATTTCCTCAGTCAATTTTTCAATCAATGCTCAGGCAGCATTGATTCAAATACACTGTCAAATCAAGAAAGTTTTCTGCTGTTGTCTCTTGAATAGATTGTGTCAAAATGATTAATGTGCCTTGGAGGACTTCCGTACTTGTTAAAAAGTTTGAATGGAATGTTTTTATGGTGATATGAACAAAAGTAGCAAAATCAAAGATCCAACACTTATAGTCCAGCAGCAGTAATGATGGCGTAAAGAAGAGCCTGTTTCTTGCATGTTGCCAGAATTCATTGGGTAAGGCAAGGACCGGATAAATATTACAGCATGTCCACCCACATTACAATAGATATGGGTAGTGGTGGGATTCAAATATGTGAACAACCGGTTCTCTGTGTGGATGCCACTTCCGGAAGTCCGTTCTGAGCCTGGGCAACAAAAAATTAGCTACCGGTTCTGCCAAAGTGGTGCGAATCGGCTGAATCCCACCGCTCGATATGGGTAGTTCTTGACTTACAACAGTTTGTTTGGTAATCATTCAAAATTATAACAGAGCTGAAAAAAATTACTTATGGCCATTTTTCACACTTACGACCATTGTGAAATCCCCATGGCCACATGATCAAAATTCAGGCACTTGGCAACTGATTCAGGGTCACATGATCACCTTTTGTGACCGTTTGACAAGCAAAGCCAATGGGGAAGCCAGATTGACTTAACAACCATATTACTAATTTAACAACTGCAATGATTCACTTAACAACTGTGGCAAAAGAAACCTCATTTAGCAAACGTCTCACTTAGCAACAGAAATTTCAGGTTCGTAGTTGTAAGTCAAGGACTGCCTGTATAAAAAAAGGCTAATGATTTGTATTAATAATAAAGGGCTGCTTGTTAGAAAGACTTGTTCTTCCTTCACAGGAAGAAGGGGCATGTTTGAAGATGTTTGAGGAAATGGATCTTATTGCCTAAAACAGTGGTAGCGAACCTATGGCATGCATGCCAGAGGTGGCACTCAGAGCCCTCTCTGTGTGCACGTATGCCATTGCCCCAGCCCCGCCTTCCCCCATGGCCCCCTCCTCACCAGCAGCCCCCCGGGAGGAGAGTTGCCCTCGGGCACAGCCTGCGTGGAGCAGCGCAGCCAAGGACACGGCAGCTGGGCAGCAGGGACAAGACTCCACCCTTGCGCCCCATCGCGAGCAGATGATGCTGTGGGGTGCAGGCGGAGGGCATGGCTGCCATGGCACTGCAGGGCCACCTGGGCAATCTGCTGTGGTGGGCCGTGGAGGCGGTGGGTGGCCCTGCGGGCAAGCGGAGTAGAGGCAGACGAGGGGCACAGGTGGGGGGTGGCGGGGAGGCAGGGCACTTTTTGGGCACTCAGACTCTAAAAGGTTCACCATCACTGGCCTAAAACATCCCATCTACAAAAGATAGAGCTAAGTTAACAGGAATGGCTCTATTGGAAGAACAATGCTTAGGAATGCATCCTTTCAGCATTACAAGTAGACATTTAGAATGGGGCAAAAGATTTTCACATATTCCAAAGAAGAAGAATAAGCATTGTCCCCCTTCCTTCTGCCTGGTTATATTGTGTTAAACAGGTAGTCCTCAACTTACGACCACATGGAGCCCAAAATTTCTACTGCTGAGCAAGATAGTTGTTGAGTGAGTTTTGCCATAGTTGTTAAGCGAATCATTGCAATCGTTAAGTGAACCATGCTGGCGTTAATCAATTCTGGCTTTTCCCATTGACTTTGCATGCCAGAAGACTGCGGGGAAGGTTACAAATAATGAACCCTGGACAGTGAAACTGTCACAAATACATGCCAGTTGTCAAGTACCCAAATTTTGATCATGTGACTATAGTGGTAACCACTTATAAAAGCTTTCTTGGGTAGGTCTAGGAATCCAGAACATCCAAGGGAATCTCGTAAATCTGTGTGTGTGTGTGTGTGTGTGTGTGTGTGTGTATTCAACCATAATCCCTTCCAAGAATATTTAGAAGCTTAAATTAAGATTTTCATAAGAACATTGTGCAAGATCAAGGAGAAAAAAAATGACTGAATATGTCCCTTGTTTCAGTGCCATTGTAAATTTGAATAGTCACCAAATGAATGGTTGTAAGTTGAGGAATACCTGTAGTTTCTTCTTATTAACTATGTAGTAATGTATCTGGCTAGAGCAGTGTTTCTCAACCTTGACAATTTTAAGGCATGTGGACTTCAACTCCCAGAATTCCACAGCGTTGCTGGCTGTGGAATTCTGGGAGTTGATGTCCACATGCCTTAAAATTGTCAAGGTTGAGAAACACTGGGCTAGAGCATAAAACAGGCAAGAAAATGTTCCCTTTTTAAACAAAATAATCCCATGGCAGGTTTTTAAGAAGTTTTAAAGTTTTAAGAGGAAACGACAGACACAGACAAACACAGAGCCTGCAGAAACATATTCTATTTTAGAACAATTTCCATTCCCCAAAACCTCTTTTTAACAAAGCTTGTTAGTAAGGTTGCTACCAATAAATCTATTAACATTAAAAAGGGAGTCCCTCCGCTAGTTGTTGCGGACTCTAAGGGGCAGTGCTCATCTCCTTTTCAAGGCATTGAGCCAACACTGTCCAAAGACATTTCTGCGGTCATGTGGGTAGCATGTCATCAGGAAGTACTGTTACCTTCCCACCGAAGTGGTACTTATTTATCTACTTGCATTTGCATGCTTTCGAATTGCAAAGTTAGGAGCTGCTGTGAAGATGGGAGCTCACTCCGTCATGTGGCGCTTGGGGCCTTGAACCTGGACTGCCAGCTTTCTAACTATTAACAAAGAGAAATGGTAAATATAAAACAATGTTAAAAATGTGGAGAATGCAAAGAAGGAATGTAAAAGTTTCTAGAGCATCCATTGCACAGATTACGCATTATGTTTTGCATTCTAGTCCTTGTTAATTAATGCTGCCCTTCCAAAGAATTAATTATTTTTATGTGACAACAGTGTGAAATGACATTGGATGCTTTGGATATTAATTTTCTGGCTGAGTATAAATTGAGTTTTGATCCACTTGTTATTCTCAGCCTTCCTAAAGGCTATTGGCTATAAAAATAGATCGATCCCATTACACTCTGTAGTTGCAGCTAAGAAAACCTTTCCTAAGAAATAAAAAATAATCATTGTTATTTCAGCCGTTCCATTCCTATACTACATGCTCAAGACAGCTAATATATAAAACTAAGCATTTTTTTTAAAAAAGGTAATATTTCAGTTTTAAAAAGAGATGTATGATGAAATAGGATTTCTTCCTGTAGAGTATAATAATCAACTGATTTCATTTTAATGAAAAATGTTGTTGCTAATAGAAGATTGTAATATCACATGGTAAGGTTTGGGTTTAAAAAATGATTTAAAACTCAGGCTGTTGGGGTTAAATTAATTCCTTCTTTGCTGAAGAAACATCTCTGTCTGAACCATGTGACAAAAAAGCCCACAGAAACACACACACACACACACACACACACACACACACACACACACACACAACTAAAGGCCAGGATAATGATTCATCTGGTTTCAGTCAGTTGAAGACTAAAATATATATATATTGGAGCAATAGCAGCAGATAACCAACATGATCATATTTTAATTTTTCCAGAACATAAGTCAAAGACTATATATACTAAATATATACAGCCCTCAAGTCAACAGACGTTGTCAATACTTGATTAATGTGAAAAAAAATCTTACATCAAATATAGACACTGTCTGCTGACTATACTTGATGTAAGATCCTTTTTTACATTAATTCCATGTATTCTGAGTTGTCTGGGCACCACATTACAAACAAAAGTGCTGAGACTTTGGTAAAAGTGCAGAGAAGAGCAACTAATATGATTAAAGGCCTGGAGACTAAAACATATGAAGAATAGTTGCAGGAACTGGGTATGGCTAGTCTAGAGCAGGGCTTTTCAACCTTTTCAGCATATGGCAATATTCGAGTACCAGGTGGGCATGACCTGCTTGACGCCACTCACTGGGCACAGCTGACTCGAGACAGCTGGATCGGAATGGAACAAGTCACACCGACTAATTCAATGTGGGGACAACTCGGTGCCCCACAAACTCCTTGCCTCCCCAAACTGCTAGCAGCCAAGCGTATGCGTGTGCGCGCGCACACACACACACACCCTGCATTCCAGGTTTGGGAACTTTTATCCACAGAGGAAGGAGAGGGCCTTCTCCCCAAGTCCAGGCATGATTGGCAATTTGTTGCCAGCATGGCAGCGGGTGAGAGTGCCGGTGAACCGTACTTTGCAGGATGAAGCAGGTAGACCTATGCCAGCAGCCCTGTCGGGATCAGGGAGGCTCCAAAGGAGGTAGCTGCGGGGATGGGGAGAAGGAGGCTTTCCAGCAGGTGCTGCTGCCCTTCCACTTTCCAACTCCAAAATTTTGGAGTAAAGTTGGGCAGCCTTTGAGCATCCCTGACAAGCTGCAAATGTGCTATAGCCTTGGCAGGGCAAAGCTGGAGCACTCTGCGTTTAGTCGGGGCTGCCGGCATGGTGGCAGGCGGGAGCGCTGGGTGAGCATGGATGAAGCAGATGGAGGTACTTGCAAGTCTTGCCCCAGCTAAGACTTGCCAGCCATCGTAAGCGTACCACCTGCCAGGTGCCAACGTACCACCAGTTGAAAAGCCCTGGTCTAGAAGATCTCCAAGGTCTCTTCCAGCTCTATACTGATTGATTATTGATTCATGGACTAAAATTCAGGCCAATTATCCCTGATCTTTCTGGAATTCCTGAGATGAAAGTGCAATAAAAGTGTTAACCACTTGTAGAAGCTTTCCTGGGTAGGTCTGGGAGCCAAGAACACCCAAGTGAATCTCCTACATTTGTGTGCATGTCTGCGTGGGTGCATATATTCAATCATAATCCCTTCCAAGAACATTTAGAAACTTAAACTAAGATTTTCATAAGAACATTGTGAAATACCAAGGAGAAAAAAAAATCTCATGGAAAAACATTGAAATAAAAACAGAGAAAATTGTATATTATGCCAATCCATTTTTATACTTCAGAGGTTATAGAAACCAACAGAGCATCTTTACATCTCCTGATAAAATTAATCTTTATATATTCAGCCACAGCCTTCATATCTCATACCTTTGGTTTTAATCTGAAAAGAAATTCATTGGCTAAACAAGCAATCTTTTGAACTGTCCACTCTTTTGAATTTCCCATGCAAAGGTCAAGATTTATTTACTGGAAGTACAGAAATAATAAACTCCTTCCACATCAGATGCTCTACTGGTAATGCCAATATTCTGTGTCTATTGATGAATATGGATTTCAGAAAGGAGCCTAAGGATTCTGAAGAATGGATAAACATCCTGATAGTTCCATAATGGGTTTTCTTAAGAGAGAAAGAAAACATTTAGATTATATTCTATAATTTGATAGTATGTACAAAAATATGCAGCATATCTTACTTACCTTCTGTAATAAGAGAGAACCAGAATATTTTGTGACAATATAATACAAATCTTCACCAAAGGAGTCAGCCCAGGATTTCACTCTATGCAAAGGGGGAAAAACACAACATAGTCATTAGTTATTTCCATGTCTCTAGGAGTATTCATGGGGTCATGATGGCAGCTACATCCTTGCAATCAAAGCTCCATTCTTTTTTACATGAATTTTAAAAGCTAAGAAACTAGCTACAACCATGCAGTCAAAGCCCTGCTGCATGTAAAAATGGGGTGTGGGGGGGTTCTATTTTAAGGTTGTAGTCATCCTCTTGATCTCTTTGATACCCCTGCAGATACTTCTGGATGTCATTCAGCCAATTAAGTAGGAATGAGCAATATGGACATTCCAAAATTGTAAGTTGTCAGCACTAGATGTTGAGAAACCACTCTAGTGAGACAAGCAATTTGGGAATGCTTCCTGATTGGATGTCTCATTGTCCCTCTGCCTATTTACTTGCCTCTGAGCCCAGTCTATAGACGGTGGCCTTGTACAGGAAGAAAAGAGAAGTAAGTGGAGCTTGCCATTCCTTCTCTTCTCTCTTATCCTTACTGAGCGGAACCATCAGGTGTTCTGCTGTTCAACAGTGGGGCAGCAGTAGGCCTTGATAGGGCTAGCAACTGAGGAGGACAAGAAATTGTCTGAGTATATCAGTCACCATCCATCAATAAAGCTTTGCTACAATATAGTTGCAAACTATATTGTAGCAAATACAATATAGGGATGATAATTAGCTGGTACAATCTGGTTTGTGAGAACTGACTAAAATTATTATAAACATTTCAACTAAACTCTTGCACATGTTTTAGCTTCTCCAGGCAGGACAGAAATGAAAGTCCAAATTAAACTGTTTACATATGATTTACTATGTGGAGGGTGAATTAATATCTTAGCTCTAATTGTACTGGGTATCCTGAGGCTTGAGCACCTAATGAAGAATATATCTTCTATCAATCCACATTAGTAGAACTTGGTGTGTACAACTGTGGTTTTATGGATAAAGATTTATTCTATATTTTATAAATACTTGTGCCTATTTAATTCAATAGAACTCTGGACAGAAAATTACTACTTCAACTCAGCTCTAGACAGGGAAGCATGCAATGTGTTTAGAATTGCAATTGGTGCCTCATAAATATTAAAGCCTTTAACTCTGTTTTAATTATCTGTGTACCATGTAAGGACAAACGTTCTCTCTAAACATTCCTGTTTTCACCATCTGCACTTAAGATGAACACCAAACTAGATTTTCCTTATGTCTTCAGTTTTCCCCAGGGACAATTTTTCTTTGTTAAACAATATCATTCAGCTCAAAGAGAATTGTTCCATATCAGTCTCACAACCTAAAACCACTGAATTCCTCAAAAGTTTCGCTCTAGTTTTAGTTAAATTACATTATTTAGAGAATGTTTTTGCTCTATTTGTGAAATCAAGAAATGAGAAAATTCAATCCTAATTGATATCTTAGTGATTTAGTACTACACAATCCTGATCCAATTGGTTTTGTTGTGGTTTCCTATTTTTTAAATCAATCTTTGTAAAAAAAAATAGCTCTTTTTAAAAATACGTGCTGGTCCATAGTGACTAGAAACTACTTCAGTATTTTGTACTTTGAAGAGTTAATGAGTCAAATTACTGTCAGAACCAGTTATGGTCTAATATAGATAATAACCCTGGTTCACACACATCCTTTCATCCCCAGCTTATGAATGAAACAATCTTATGTTGTCACCAAACATACCGGTATAAAAATAGGATTTCTCCACTTAAGCTGACCTTATTCAAGATATGCATAATCTCTAACAGTTTGGCACCCTTTATCTTGCAGGCAAAGTCAGCTGCTCGGGGTGTGATTAGAGTGTGTTTTAAGAGTGTCAAGTGATGCAGGCATGCACGTCTCCCTGTGGTCTGTAGCCAGCCACCATAGAAGCCATTTCTCCCCCAGTGCTTTCCTCATCATTATTTATTCATTATATTGATCAAACTCCTATTTTTGAAATTAGCTTCTCTTCTGGCTGATAATAACACAGGAAAGGAAAGCAAGCTATTATCTGATGAAGAAGGGACATCCGTGCACAATTCCACCTTAACTGTTATCTGAAAACTATCACTCTTCTACTATTTTATTAGGAAAGAAAGAAAGGGCAATTTAGCACTCTTTGGCTTTAAAAATACAGTGATCTGAAATGGCATCAATTTGTGTCTTCACCTCTTTTTCTATAAGGTCACTCAACTTCATAAAGACTGTGGGCAGTGTGTAACATTAAAAACAGTAAAATCAATCAATAAAGAAAAGAACAATGTATGTGCAGAAGGGAAAACATTCAAAGTAACATACAAAATCGCATATGGGGGGCATCACCCATTCCTACCCAAGGCCTGAGGTTTTCAAAGATTTTTTAAAATATCTTCAGAACAGAGACCATAAGGATTTGGGGAGGGGGATGACTCTGTTCCAGGTGTACTGCCTCACTTTCCCTCATTGCAATAACTGAAGATAACAGATGTTGAATTGAACTTTTACTGCTTGTTTGCCAGTTTTCTTGTGTTGTTCAGTTTCAACCATCCTGAATTTAGAGACTGGTTGCCCAGCAGCTATATTTTCAAGTCATTTACTCTTCAGGACTTATCTAGCTACAAAGTTAGGGTAGGACCTATATTTCTCCTCTCTGGACTTCTTCTGTAGAAAGTAAGAAAGATGATCTTGATGAGGATAAAAAAAAAGGCTGTTACAAAAGGAGCTAATATATTTTTAAGCCCAGAATGTCCAGATAACATTTATAAGTGGCTCACATAGTTACATCCTAAGGAAGAGGAGGAGGAGGATTTTGAGTACATGGTACAAATACCAGCAGACTTGAGAGATTCTGTTATTTTAGACAATCTCAGTAAAAGTAGTTTTAGCTTTCTTGTGGAGTTGATTTCCTAGTCAGGCCTGTCTAGTGGGGCTGACATATTTCTACCCCAATATCTTCCCACATTTTCTTTATTTTACTTTATTTTAACAGGGCAGCTACCTAAAGAGATGTGGGAGGAGGGGCAGACAAGCCATTCTATAGAAATCAGACACAGTCTGAAGTGAGACCCACTCTATTCTTGCTGTGATGCGCTGATTGATGGATGTGAAAATCTTGCCTATAATAACTGGAACATCCACCAATCAGGAGGCACTTTTGAGCCATGACCTGGAGAAGGCATAGTAAAGGCAATATAAGAGCTGAGATGGGGGCAGCAATTTCATGCTGCCTCAAAAATAGAATAATTTTAATAAGAAAAGAACCATTACTTTCCCCATTTCTTTCTGTTGTTACCAGCAGGACTCATAGATTTATACCAATTAGAATTCTAGTCTCAATGGAGACATTTACGACACCCTTGTGAGCAGGAATAGAAAATTTAGAAAGCAATGGGAGAGCTGTGCAGTTCCATTTGCTTGTCCAGGTTTTCACATTTTTCAGAGAAAAGGGTGGAGAGGTATAGTTTCAATAGGAGAAATCTACATCATGTGCTTGTGCTACAGATTTGTAATCCTTGATATAACAGGTTGCTTGAATGCTTTGACTTGATTGAGATTTAAATGGCCTAATGGCTCAGTAGGATGCCAGCTAAAAGTTTCCAGGCTTCATAAGATTTTTAATCTTTTGTTACTCTTAAAATTTTGTTCTTGGAAGCTATCCTTCAATTTTAATAAATCTCATAATACTTCACTTCTAATTGTTCCTTTCTTCCTTAAATATTCTCTAGCATACATATACAAAAAGAAAATACTGTATTATTTTTCTTACAAGATCAGTTTGAGATGTTCTGTAGGTTTCTGATCTAATTTCAACTCCTTTTCAAATGCCCCCACCCAGCAACCCCATTGATGTCATCATGCCCCTGTGTCCTGTGAGAAACCTGCATTTTTCAATTAATACTTGGAAGGCTGCTTAGACAAGTTAGCTCTTCCTATTTATCCTTGTAAGCTGTGAGATAACAAACTTCCAACAATAACACCAATCAGAAGATAATTATTTCCCTCCTTTGTCATAGCAAGCACTCAGGGCTTGCTAGACACTTAATCCCCATTAATATCTAACTTCCATTTGCTAATGCCTAAACCAAGCAACTCTGGGGGTAGAAGAGAGGAAAGAGAGACTTGAGGGCTATGAAACTTGCCCAGCAAAACAAAATGGTTTGTGAGTGCAGTTCCGGAGTGTGTCCTTGCCACTCAGCTCAGCTCAGCTCAGTGTGACCAATGGAGGAGGGACTGCTGATGCTACGGGTATAGGTCAGTGTTTTTCAACCTTGGCCATTTGAACATGTGAGGATTACAAGTGATCAAGACTGGGAAACACTGCTATAAGTTAATTAATGGGGACAATTTAAATAAACAAGACACTGTTTGTTTTAGTTGCTGTATGTCTTTTAATGTCCTTCTGCTTTTGTTTCCATCCTGCAATTTCTAAATTAGTTGGCAGCACAGGAATTTTAGTTAACACTCTGCCAGTCCAAAGCCCTCAGAAAGTGCACAGAGGAAAAATGCAACTTCCAGGCTGCAAAAATTGCCTATCTTTACACTAAGAATAGAGAGAATCAGAAAGTGAGCTGGAAGGATATAGATGTGGGAAGGATGTGATCCTTTTTCTTCTTATTAGGCCATTATTTTTTGTGAACAATTATCTACTTATTTGAAAGAAAAAGAAACAAGCCTAAGTGTCATCAGGCTGTTGGATGTCAGGTCCCAGCTGCAGGGACAATGGATGGCTGGGGGGAGGGGAAGGGAAAGGAAAGGCTGACATACGTGGAATGACATCAAGATGAAATCAACGCTGCACTGTTGTGTGGTCAACTCTGCACCTTGTATATTTGTATGCACATTGCACCCAAGGATGAAAGGGGCAGAATTTGCCTCACAACGGTGCAATGCTGATTTCATCACGTCTTTCCACATGATTATGCTACAATCACTGTTGCAATTCCACATTTTCAGGATTTTTTTTTAAAGAATCAACCATTTGTTTTTTGTTCTGGGAAATATGACTTTTATTGCTATCCATCCAGTGAGCTAACTGTGACTGCCTTTCTTATTTATTAATTAAATTTTTATCCCTCCTTTATTGTTTTATCAATAACTCAAGGCAACAAACTTACAGAATGCCCCTTCTTCCTCTATTTTCTCCACATCAACAACTCTGTGAGGTGTGTTGGTTTGAGAGAGAATGAGTGGCCCAAAGCCCTATCCCACTATAGTGATATCCATCCATATTTGAGTCTGCCAGAAATTATACTGCCAGACCATTTTCTGCCTCCATTGCTAGTCCTCATCCTGCTTCTGTTCCCAGTTGCTACCACCAAATTCTCTCCAATGCAAAGGGTAACAAATTCCAACATATTTCTGCACAATTTGAAGCAGTTTCTAAGAATACTTTAACGCTGGTACCACCATGGGTAGCATAAGCCTGTATCACTCATGGGTTGGTGATAAGATGAAGAGAACTTCATGGTAACTTGTCAGAATGGAAGGAAGACGAGATGTCTATTTGGGAGCTCTGTTATCAGAAGCTTCATGAGGAAGAAGCTGCATAAACAGATCCAAAGCCCAGGGGACAAATAAAGAGGAAAACAGAAAGATAGACAGCCCTAATGAGAAGAGGCAGCAGCTGAGAAAAGTGCTGAGAGAAAGGCATTTATTTCATTCCCTCAGACTGGTGTGTGGGAAAAGTTCTTTAAGTCATTGCCCTCACTTGAAGTAAAGATTCAGAAGAAGAAAAGAATCCAGCCAGGAAGAAACAAAGAGAAAAGAAGAAGAAAAAGTAAATGCTTCAACAGAACAGACATAGAAAGCATACACTCAAAAAGATACAAAGCCCTCATCAATTCCAGTGCTTTTGGTCTACTAGCCTATCTCAAACTGATAATTGGTGGTTCAAAAATAGATCCCTGGCTATCAATTTGTGCTGTGGTTAGTTCTAAGCAGGGACATGGTTTTTGCCTAAATACGCTTAAATCATGATTTGCCCAAAGTATGTATAATTTCTTCCCTGATTCATACCTAACATTTTAACACAACTTGTGACTATAGTATAGATTGAATGTGGGGGTCTATATGTGCTTCCCTTAATTCTCCTCACCTTACCAGACTTAATTCTCTTCCTGTGCTATTTTAGTGCAACATAGTTCAGCAATTCTATACAAGCCAGACAAATGTGCAGGGTTTTTTTTCTTGAGTTGGTCAAGCTTGCAACCTTCAAAATGCAAACTGACAGAGAAACCTGCGCCAGCTGTTCTTCAATTAAAATGGTGGTTTTAATAAGATATGAATAATTATGAGTAAAATGTTTGCATCAATTCTAATGCCATTTTGAGATGGGGCAGAAAACAAGTCAAAAGAATTGAGAATGTACATATATGGAAGAAATCCTGATATAAAAAAAATGGAATTTATATTATACAACATGAAAGGCCAGATTTTAAAGGGTGAAGACTAAACAGTATAAATAACAGAAACACATTAAAAAAATGTAGGCCACTTACGTTTCAAATGGTATTTTCACCTGGGGCCTTGAGAAGGGCAGGAGGCAGCTGAATGAGAAAAAAAGCCACAGGAGCATCCTCTGTGTCCAAATTATCAACAGCAAAATCAGTTGCGTAGACAGAATGTTTACCCCATTTCTTTCCTTTTAAGTTGTTCCTGGCTCCAAAAAATGAGTCTCGAATATCATGGTTTGCTGGGATGCAACTTGAATCAGGGTAGATGTAGAAACATCTAACCCTTCATGCTTTTATCCTTGTGTCTTTTCTCCTTTCTTTTTTCAGATGGGCAACAGCTTCCTGAGAGGACCACGAGAATCTTCTGGATTGGATTAGAATTTCAAGGAATACTCTGCTCCATAGCTATGAAGGGTATTAGAGAGAAGCTACTATCCATGCCCTGTAGGAATGGCAGACTAGAAGGGGAACTCCGTAAACAGCAAAAGCCACAGGATATACATAATCCACTGCCAGTCTTTTAATCCCCTCATATACCAGAAGCAGCTGCAGATTTAAGGAACTGGGCTGAGATAAAATCAGCCAGGATTACTCTAATTTCTGGAGACACGATGCATCAATCTGTCCTTCCAGCACCCAGAACTAGCCAACTTTAAGTCTTTTTTTTTTTTTTAAAGCAGCATGGCTTCAAAATTTCACAACTTTAAACAAACCTCCTGACTTTTTATCCCTCCAAAGAATCCTTAGCTCCCAATTTCATGGAAGGTTTTGTCTTGTGCTATCTACTATATTCCCTGCTCTGGTCTTTGAATCCAATTTATTTCTTGGCTTCTAATGTTTTCCCATCACCATGAAAATATGAAATATATTGAACCCCAAATCCTATTACCCAGGACAGCCTGATTAAAAGAGAGAATTTAGGTCAGGCACACAATAGTATTGATCATTATCCTGACATTTTGTATTATATTGTTTTCTGCTGCGTTATTTACTGTTTTGGGGTTCCCCTCAGGAAAAAAAACTGGTGGACTGTAAACTATGAAAACAGACACATTAATCCAAAAAGCATGAGAATTAGGCTGATATATTAAGTTTAATTAGTTTAAAAGCAGGAGGGAATTAGCACATGCAATGACCGTCTATCACAAGATTTGCAAAATTATTGGACATTCTGGTGATGCATGAAAACAACCAATCTGTCACATAGGGTGGAAATGGGAACAAGATACTATCCTCAGAGCTACCAACTCTGAGCTACAAAACTTAGAAGACAGCAGACATATGATAAACTGTAGCTCTTTGCTGCCCTCCACTGTTCATCCAGATTGGTGCAGCCTACATCATATTTGTTGTCTCTTCAAAGACATTGACAATCCAGTAATATTTCTGTAAGATTCATTGTGCACTGTATTTGTGAGAGCATTCAGAAGCTAGTCAAGAACTGAATAGAACTGATCAACCCCCCTGCTCACACAGTACAAAAGGCTGGACCAAGCTTTTTCTGCTGAGATTGATGGCTGAGAGTCTCTGATCCTGAAAATATGAGGGCAGTGTCTAAAGAAAGTGGAATAGAGACTTAGCAAGAATTATTTTGGATTTCACTTAGCAGAGAGAGTAGAGGGGGCCCAACTGCTTCCAGATATCATTTTTTTTTTGTTCCTGGAATTCTGCGTGATTACATTATTGAATATCAGTTTTCTATCATTCTATGGTCACTCAACTCACACACAAGTGATTTCAAGCAGCTTACAACCTTAAAATCCACAATATAAAAACCATAACTTTTTTTCTGTCCTTCCACGTTTCTCAGAATTATGGACTCATTTTTTTCACTGTGCTCCTTGATTTTTATTATTAGAGCTTGTACATCATTTGCATTTTCAGCTATCAGAGTAGTGTCATAAACATAGCACAGGTTGTTGATTATTTAAAACAACACTCATCTTCCAGTCCAGATTCCCAGAAAAAACATACTCAACGTACAGGATGAATAAATAATGAGAGAGCATACAGTGTTGTCTCATTTTGTTGCCAATGAGAAACAGCCTGTTTTGGCATGTTTCATCTAGACTGTGACTTCCTTTCCAAAGTACAGGTTTTGCACGAAGACAATAAGATGTTCTGGGATTCCCATTTTCCTAAGAACATCCCACCACTTGACATGTCTGGCAGAATCAAAACCCTAATCAATGACTTACATTTTATCAATTTTACTATTTTATCTCTTACTTTGCCCAAAAAATAATAATTTAAAAATTCAGTAATGCAATCTGGGGGTGTTTTGGTGTATGCAAAAGTGGGGTGGGGTTGGGGATATATGCAGACTGGGAGCATTGTTACTTATCTAGGCTTAGGGTGATGTCTGTGCATTCTTTGTGCAGGGTTGCAATAGATTAATACACATGTTCTTTGACAACAGTGAAAATTGTTATTCTGTTCCATCTCTTGGTGTGACACAAAAGACAGGATCCATTTTGCTTTCTTCCCTGTTTGTTCATGCAAGCTCATTTACAGTGAAAAGGAATACTGATTTTAAAAAATAGTGTGCACCATTGCCCTGCTTTGTACTTTGAAAAGTGTCTGAAAGGCTGAATGGAAAAGAAAGGGATCCCAGCAGGAAGCTGAGTTAGTGGGAAGCATCCAGGGAGGCAGGGACTCATCAGCTTGAAAGCCTTCTCATTTTGTATCCTCATCAGTCTTTTGCAAGGGAGAAAGAAAAATCATGTTAATAAGATGTGAGTACTAAAGAAATGGAAAACCCATGCACAATGGAGAAAATACAAAAGGATTCAAAGTGGCCCTTTCTAAATATCTATGAATTATCTATCTGAATATTAATAACTATCTAAATAACAGCAGAGGTATTTCGAAATGTAATTTTCCTGCTTGAAGTAACTCTTAAAAGTTTCCTTCAAAAGGATCAGGGAGGCATATTTTTGCTCTAAACCAGTGGTTCGCAACCATTTCTTCACCCCCTTTAAATACCTTTTGTGGCCATGGACCATTGCCACAGTCCTCCAAGGCTTAACTCAAGATTTAAACTCAAGCCTTCGTGTACCTCCTGTGACAACATTGCAGCCCTCCAGCACCACAGGTTGAGAACTACTGTCCTATTGTCCCAAGCAAGTAATTGCCAAATCTGATATTATTATTTTTGTTTTTTTAAACAAACATTGGAAATGTAACCTTTAAGGCCAGTCATCCACATCTACATATCAGGAAGGCAGATTTGGCAATAGTTCTCTCGTCGACAAGATATTTTACAAAGGATATGGAATTCTTGCGTAAAATGATTGGGAAAGGACACCATTTTCTGCCATGGGTGGAAGAGAAGAGCAGCCAATGTTATGGTGTATAGACAGCAAAACACACAAGGTGACAATAGCTAGGTTCTGTTAATCTACGGTGTGATAAAATAAGTCACAACTGCCTAGATTTGCATAACTTCTTAGGCCATAATCACAGTACATAAATTAGAATGACTAGATTCCTAAACATACAGCTAAACAAACAGCTTTATGGCTTATGTGTTGGGTATTTTATCTACTTGACCCAACAACTTGGGTCAAGCAGATGAAATAACCTCTTCTGCAGCTGCAATAGCAGCAGATTTAACACTGCAGACTACTCCTATGCAAAGATGTAACACATTGCTTGACAGAGGAAAACTGAAACATGTGGGGAAAATATTTGTTAACACTAATTAGAATTTCATCTCATCATCTCACTTCACTTCATCTCATCTCATCTCCTTTCATTTCAGTATTTCATGCCATGAGTGACATTTGCTGAAGAAATTACATGCTATGGTAAAAAACCTGCATTTGTAAATTTTCTGACCTCACTGTCTTATGCTTGGAAGAAGCTATTATACAACCCTGTGGTGGTGAACCTATGGCACGCGTGCCACAGGTGGCACACAGAGCCCTCTCTGTGGGCACATGTGCCGTCACCCCAGTCCTAAGCCTTCAGTTTGGTTTTATAAAACCTTTTTGCTTTAGGCCTCCACCACCATCTGCAAAAAAAAAAAAAAAAGTTTCAATCAATCAATTTCAACTTCTCGCGGAAAAAAAAAGATCTTGCAAAATTGGAATTGATTGAGCTTTTTAGTCCCACCCAGTCTGCTGTTACCACCACAGCCATGCCCACCCAATGGGCCACACCCACCCAATGGGCCCTGCCCACCCAGTACCCGACAGTACATAAGTGGGTTTTGGGTTGCAGTTTGAGCACTCACCATCACTGTACTACCCCATTCAGTTAACTAATGAAGGAATGCTCTAGGTACAAACTTTTTTCACCACCATCTTTTGCAGGCCAAGAAAACTTTTCCTATAGCTGCTCTGTCCCTATGGAATACGCTTCTCCCTAAAATTTGTACAGCTCAAGGTTCCTGATTTTTGTACAATGAAACCCACATCAGATCTACCACTTTCTGTGATCTCAACATTACACTCCTGTTGATGCAGACCAGGATTGCAGTTTGGCTCCTTTGACAGCTTCAACAAACAATAGGTTCATGCTTAATATGTAATCTACTAAGACACCCAGGTCCTTCTCCCAATCATTACTGCCAAGTCATCTTAAAAAAAATACCCATCAATTTAAAACTGTGGATTTTTTTGTTTTGTTTTCTCTTGTTTTGTCTCAAAGGAAATGTCATTTTATCATCAGCTCTTATCATATTCATTCTCTCTACATCAAGGTATTCACCAATCAACACATTTCTAAAGAACTATCAGAATGTCATTTTTTTTTATTCTCACTGATTTTATTTTTAATCAATTTACAAATAGGAATGCTTTTCTCCTAATTGGGCCTCAAGTCTGGAGAACAAAGTTAGTATAACTGGCTTGCTTCTTAACTCTTGTCTTTACTTTTTAGAATAACCTTAATTGCAGAGATTGGCAAATGTTAACTGAAGCATAAATCAGTTTATGAATCAATGCTGGAGGCATAGATAAGTCTAAAGATAAAAGGGGATTATAGTGTCTCCCTATAAACTCATCCAAATTAGAATATATAATTTATTTGACTTTGATTCATTGATTGGGGTTACTTGATGTGCATTGTGTGTGCAGTAACAGTGTGTGAGGTAATGGGATTCAAACAGAATGGTATCCTTAAGTTCAGAAAACTCATGTCTGAAACTACTACATATTCCTAGTTGTTATCTAGTTGCATATCAGGGGATGGGGGTTAAAAAAAATGCTGCAGCCCCCCTGTTAGAGTTGCAAGTCATGAAATGGTCATTAAGCAATGTGACCATGTGATCTCCTTGCTTAATGACCCCCACCCCTGCTCTCTGCCAGTGTGGTTGTTAAACAACTATGTGGGTCATTAAGTGGAGCACAAGGTGCCTCAAGAATGGGGGAGCCTAGCATAGGCCCAGCATATCTGCCCCAGGCCTCCCAATACCTCCTCACCCTGAGGCACCCCATGCTCTTTTAGGGTCCTCACAAGCTTTGGGGAGCAATAAGAAAGAAATGTGTTCCGTGCACAATAGCTACTTTGATGTCAGCTTAACTTTTTTTTTTAAAAGCCAATATGACAGATTGATGTTAAGGCCAGAAAAAGTCACTTATCCAAGCAGATTGGTCTGAATGTAATGTATACTAAGAAATTGATGACAAGGGAGACTCAAGATGGCAACTTGTTGGAGATGAAGGAGAAATTGTTTCACGTTTTTTCTTTCCTGACTAGAAAAAAATCATTCATCATTATTATTAACTGTCAGAAACTTGGCAGAAGAGCCATTTTCTTTTGAG